AGTCGCTGGAAGGCGAAGCATCCGTAGCTGCAGAGCGACTAAGTTGGATACGGGGTTCGTCGCGAACTGCAGATGGGATGAATGCCTTGGCAGCGAGATCATGAGGTTGCGTCGGCATCCAACTAGATAACTCGATCCCCCGGCCGTTATTGGAGGGACAAATAAGTTAGCAGAGCCGTAAAGACAAATTAGTACCAGGAACCAGGTACCGTACGGTACCACAAGGCCGAAAGGTTCGTGCATGTCTTCCACGGTCAATTTGGCACACATTTTTTGTACTTCCCGACTTGGGCGTCTCTTGGCACCTGCACGCAATCTGTGGATGTGATTCGATTCGATTCCGTGGAATCCCACCTCCGAGCCACCCACCATTCGGGCTCGGCTCTGCTCGGCCCTTGTGGGCAACTTGGACCTGCTCGAAAAGGATGGTTGTGTCCGTGGCTGGAAGCAAGCAACGCGAAAACGTTCCTTTCATTTTGAATGCCAAGAACTGCAAAAGCCGTGGATCTTTTGCAATCAACCTCCTTCTTCAAGCCCCGATGTCTCTGTGCAAACGTATTCTAAACCCCGAAGGCCGGTTTTATCGCCTTCTAACTGAGGAAACCAAAAACTCGCGCATCTGGAATGACAAGCCCTGCTGTACCAGTACAGCATGTAGCCGTTGCAAGCAAAGACTGCGTAAGGATCACCACACAGGAGCTCAAGGAACCAGGATCAGCATGGCTTGAGTTTCGAGAACTGGAAAGGGAGCTGGGGCTGCAGTCAAAGCAGGTGATATCATTCTCTCGAGGGTACCGGTATCGGTACCTGTACCGCTATCTCGGAACCTCCCGCACCTTTATCAGTTTCGGCCATCCATGACAGCGCGCGGAAGAGATGAATCCAAAAGGAAGCTGATCACTGTAAAAGATGTCTCTAATCACTGGCGCTAGCTAGGCGCCAGCAAAAGAATTCTGCGTTGTAGGATGCAGCTTCGTTTGTGCCGTACGGTAGCTAGCTCGCCGCACTGAAGCAGTAACTGTTTGTTGGGTCATATGTTCCTTCTCAATCAACCATTCATCGTCTCTTTGGAAGGTGGCAACATCGACTTCACCCCAATGACGAAGGTAATGGCGGTCATGAAATGAACAGCACTCGGGGTCTGTGCTTATGGCGGACGCATGTGTTGCACTAACGAAAAGGGATGCCACTCCCAGCCACATCAGCGCTGCTGTGGTCACTCCTTGACGGCGGATAGTTGACTTCCACTCATTTATCATCTGGTGATCGCACGAGATTGTAATTAACAGACTAGCATAGGGCACGCAAGGACGCAATCAAAACGAAACTTTGTAACTAGATACAGTGTAGAATATGAAACATGTAGATGGTATTGGTGGAAATGGCGCGATGGCGGTGTCGCTGAGTGTGCTCTGCTCTGTTGTGGTCTCCTCCGATCGAGTGGCCTCAAGAGCTCAAGAGGGACCTTTGCCCTTCTGGCTCAGCGGGGCACCTTACTTTTTCGTTTAGTTAGTCCGTGGCTGTGGGCGAGGCATCCAAATCAATACATCTCACAAGGAAGTTTTTCATCGCCGCTCAACACCGTAAGTGGATTGTTGGGTTGCTTGGTGTTTCAGACGTTGAGCCGTCAGCCCCAAGACCGAAAGCCACATACTTGATCCTCAGAACTAACGGAGGTCAGCTGGCCGCAGCACACAAAACTGTTCCATCATGGTCTGTTGTCAGGTACTGGAATGGTATCAGAGGTTTCGCGAGTCCTTTACCAAAGGCTCGTCTGGGTGAGGGCGTTGGAAGTAAGGAAACCCGGCCTTCGCAGTCAGCTTTGTCTCGTCTCGCCCATCTTCCGAGGCTGCAGAGAGCTCCGCAATGAACATTGGGCAGGTTGACTTTTTTAATTCAAGTCCTCTTATCGTGAAGCTTGGCTTGGTGGTACAGCGCAGTCAAAGCAAAAAGTGACCAGCACCAAAAGGTTCTTTTCATTTGAAACCTCCTTTAAACAAACAACTGGCAGCAAAACGGGAAGAGAACAGCGAGTTCTGCCTCATAAATCCTGTGACGCCTTAGTTAGGGTCTGGTTACCGGTACGATAAGTTGTATTGAGTGCACTTGCTGACTCAGCTTGTCTCCAGATTGCCCATCTCAGCCACACGGCAAGAATCTCTCACCCGAGCAATGAGGAGGATGGTTTGGTTTCCTCAGGTTCATGGACCAAGCGGACAAGCGTCGCTTCGTGTTCCATCTTATGTGAAAGTATGGGGGTTGGTCAGGTGGAAGAGATGGCAGGTGGAATTGTTGACCGAGGAGGGATTTGACTCATATCCTTGATCCGGAATGCGGGCCCGGGATACCGTATTGACACTTTTTGGAGTCTGATTGGCTGTGGGGATGAAAAGAGAGTAAATGAAACCAATGGGCTCAACGAGGACAATAGCTTCCGCAGGAGCCCTTCCGCGAGGAATGATTGCGCGGAGAGCGGGGGACAAAAGGCCGTTGGTTAGTACAAATGAGTATTGTCATCCTGTTGTATTCATCGTCTCGTCGTCGAGTTCCGTGTATCGGCCGAGAAACATTGGTTGGGGTTGAAGACCCTGCCTGAGCAAGCTCTGAAGTAAATCTCTATTCTCAAGAGGCGGAAAGAAGTAAATGATCAGAGGAGGACAACGACCGCACCTCGACTTCATTGTTTGTTCGCGATTTGAGATACCATGCGAAGTAGACCAGTGTTGCTGCCTCCACTTCCATGAGTCGAGAGGTTTGCAATCTCAACAAAGAATAGGCTCGCGGTCGAAGCCCATCTCAACGTGAGATTCCGTTCCAAATGGTCCTTTTTGTCTTCGAAACGTCGAAATCAACGTATGTTGCAACGTTGCAATTGAGCCCCCGTGACGTAGAGTCCTTAATTTTCTTTGTTTTCTCCCTCTGCTGCAAATGCTATGGAATCTGCGTCCAAAGCAACATATTCTTCTTCCACCAAGTACTCCTCTTCTTCATATTCAGAAAAAGTTTCTTCGTCCTCTTCGTCAACCCCTCCCTCCCGTGCTTCAATGGCCAATATTTCATCAATTGAAAGAGACGGAACCTTGGATGGCAAACGATAGCAACGCTGATGGTGATACCGGTTGGTCAGATACAGTTGGTATCGATCCATGAGTCGTTGGAGTGCTTGTTCTTCCGTGGGTACTTTGAAAATGTTGTCCAAGCGTCCTTCGTAGCCTTCAAAGGTGACTCCAATCCGAATGTTGGCTGCCCTGTCTCCCATGATGCTCTTGTAGAGGGAGTGCTGGAGGTTCCCAATAACGGAGGCGTGAAGCCAACTCACTTCCTTCGTCTTGAGAGGGTAGAACTCCATCAGATGATGCCATAAAGTTCGCACCATGTCGACGGAAAAATTGCTCCAGCTCATGCCTGCAATCAATCAGTCCATCAAACAAAGCGAAGCGTAGCGTAGCGTGAGATTGGTGGCTGTTGGACTGATCAAATCTCGTCCGGAAAGGCTTGGCTCCTGCGGACAATCACTTACCGTCACACTCTCCAATATTGACCACTCCCTCTCTTACGGCCTGCAGATCGGATTGTATCATCTGATACAGATAGTAAAGACCTCCCAGGAAGACCCGCCACTGATCTGGCATCTTGACAGCGGATGGGTTCAATTGGGCGTAGTCATAGACACATACAAAGTGGCGACTCTCCTCCAGCTCCAGGCTCACATCCAGCACAAACCAGGGCTGTTGGATGTGCAATTGCCGCAGCAAAGTCATGCCTTCCTCTACGGTTTCATGAATGTTGTACTCCTCACGAAAGTCTTGCAGGCCCTGAAGGCTGCACAGTGCCGTTTCTACGTGACCCTGAGTAACCAAGGCCGCGGCAGCGTACTCATAGTCCGAGAGCGGTTTCAAGGAAGTATCTTCCAGGGCAGAGTGTTTGACCGCTTCAGTCCACCGCAATTCCTCCGGGGACAGATCCATGGCAGAATCCTCCAATGTGCTAGTATGCGACGGTACGGGCGCTGGGTCATTGCGGGCAACTCGGGCAGGGTCCTCTGCCGCCGCCGCAGCCAGAGGGGGGTTCATCTCAGCGTCTCTCCTGTCGTCCATGGTTAGCTGATTGGGGGCTCTGGCTACACAAACACGCTCAGGATCTCCTGTGCTTGGCAATTGGAAAGGTTGCAGACACTCGACTGGAGCTGACGGCTACCGCACTTGGTACCTTAGTTAGAGACGGTGTATCCAATTCGAGAGGGAGAGGTTTTGTAGCAACACTCCTCAATGATCTGCCTGGTACAATGGGTCTGCAAAGTAGGCTCTTCGCCCAGTCTAGAGTACAAACGAACTGCAGCCAGAACATGCGGCGGGAGCGTTTGGGGCGACCGTGCGTAGTTTCTTAAATTGTGGTGGGGTATCTGGATTTAAATTCCAGCCGTACTGGTCAAACTATAGAGTTTACTAGTACTCACTTGGCGTCGGCAACTCGTCAAAATTTGGTTTGCAAGAGCTTTTAAGCTTTTAAGACATTCTCTAACTGTGACTGCTGGGGGATAATGAGGGTCAACGAGCTGTCAACGTAAATTCTCTAAATAATTCAGGAACCGCAAGTTGAGGGGTTCGCAAGAGGAGGCCTCCCGCTTCCAGGGCACATCTCTCGTGCTCCGTACCGGTTGTGCTATCTTTCTACCAATCATTAATCATTCTGTCGCTCACAGACTAACTAAAACACTCGTACGTGTACTGTACATGTACTTCCGCAGCAGCTCTTCCATCCTTACCAAAAGCCACCAATCGTTGTCTCGCTCAACACTCAAGCAAGTAAGATGTACATATGTGGTGGCTTTCCTTCCGGCTGGATAGCTATGCTAGCCAGTACCGGTACTCCAGTAGCTAGCTAGCAGTATCGGGTACGAATGCTACCTCTGGGTTGGAAGGTTGGAAGAGGAGCTGCTGGAACCGCAGTGCCCGCCCGAAAAAGAAGCTCCAGCTCCGCTGTTCCGTGTTACATTGGCTGCGTCTGAGGTGGTTTCGAGGAGTTCGCATATGGTGCCACCGGATGGCCAAAACGGCAAAACAGTTTTCAACCTTTACCCACAGCCCACAGCAGCGCTCAAAGCTTCCTCAGGCCTCTGCTTGTTTATCACCGAATGAATCAACGCATACACACGGGAGAAACTAAGGGCAATGAGGAAGGCAGAAGGCATGTTCGTTCGTTTATTTCATTCTCCTACTTCCAGCTGACAAAAACGGTTCAAGCTCGTAGATGGTGGATAGAGCTGTGCTCGCTAGCTAGCCAAATCCCAGTGAATTGATTAATTTTGGCCTTTATCGAGTCGACAAAGGGAACAACAGTGAACATCACCCTCTCCAGGGAAGTGGAGGCAATTGTGAATGGTCAGCGAATCTCGAGAAAGGTTTCAGGTTTCCTTCCATTATATTATTTCAGGATCATTCGGGTTCTACATGCAGTAGTAGTACTGGTAGATACTCACAACTTTTGTAGCTAGTTAGTGCAAAACTGGGTGTGGAAACCTGGCAGTAATTTTCTTCCTAATTCAGAGGAGTTCGTTTTGCCTTTGATGCTGTAGCTAGCTGGTACCTGGTAGTGGTTAGTCAGGGCTGCGACAGGAGTGGATTTGCTTCGCAGCCATCGAGAACTTGCTTGGAGTTGTTGCGTCCTTCGTCCGGGTCAAAGCTTCTCTCGATGAGGCCACAATACAGTACAGCTAGTAGCTACCGGTACTTGGCCTCAACTCGATCGAAAACCTAATGCTGTGGGTAGCCGAAGTGCTGTCGCGTTGCAGACAACCAGCCAAGTTGCACTACATGTATGTCTAGATAGCACATCTTTTCAACCTCAGCTCGAGAAGAAGAGGATGGTTGACGACCTCCGTTGGCTTCAACAAAAGCAGTAAGAAAGGAACAAAGAAGTCGCAGCAGCAGCAACAACAAACAGGGAGCCCTGCACTGCTATTCTCTGGTAAGAACTTCATCACAAACACTCGTCCAAAAGTACTAGACTACCGTAACTGTTCGTTTAATTTCCACTCACAACCACCTCAACCCCGACCTTCCGAGGGAGGCCCGAGTAAAAGTTACTCGACTGAACACAAATATCTATCTACTAGACTAGTGCATTGCACTTGCAATGGCTTGAAAGTCCAAGACCAGCACCTGGCTCAATTCTATCTCGACGGCGCTACATGTACATGTACCGGTATTGGGACTTGTACTAGTACCAGGTACTAGTACTAGTACGTACCAGTCAACTTGTACCAGGCTTCACTGAACCACTGAATGTTGAAATTATCATTATGGTTAACCCTACCGGTATATTTACCTCAACTACATTCGGCTTTTTTTCAGCGTTCATCTCCTGTTTCCTCAGTTACATGCAATCCAGCCATTGTAGCCAGCTACAGTACCGTAGGCAGAGAGTTACATCGATCCGTGACAGCGGTAACAGTACCGAACACACTCAGGTTCCGCTTTACTGGCTACACTCTGTTACCGGTACCTTGCATTGGATCCTTATGACGAATACATGCACAACCGAACATTGTCAATCCAGCCATCGTAGCCAGCTATCGTAGAGTTCATCGATCAGTGACAGTGGCAACAGTACCGAACACACTCAGGTTCGACTTTCCTCCCTGCACTCGGTTACCTCGCATTGGATCCTTATGACGAATACACGCACAACCGAATATTGTCAATCCAGCCATTGTAGCCAGCTGCCGTATAGCTAGTGGCAACAGTACCGAAAGTTCGGCTTTGCTTGCTACACTTCGTTACCAGTACCTTGCATTGAATCCTTATGATGAATACATACACAACCGAATATTGTCAATCCAGCCATTGTAGCCCGCTACCGTAGAGTTACATCGATCCGTGACAGTGGCAACAGTACCGAACCACTAGGTTCCGCTTTACTTGCTACACTCCATTACTGTACCTTGCATTGATCCTTATGACGAATACAGCACAACCGAACATTGTCAATCCAGCCATTGTAGCCGACTGCAGTATAGCTACATCGACGATAGTGGCAACAGTACCGAAAGTTCGGCTTTGCTCGCTACGGTTACTGGTACCTCGCATTGGATCCTTATGACGAATACATGCACAACCGAATATTGTCAATCCAGCCATTGTAGCCAGTTACCGTAGAGTTACATCGATCCGTGACAGTGGCAACAGCACCAAACACACTCAGGTTCCGCTTTACTGGCTACACTCCGTTACCGGTACCTTGCATTGGATCCTTATGACGAATACATGCACAACCGAACATTGTCAATCCAGCCATCGTAGCCAGTTACCATAGAGTTACATCAATCGGTGACAGTGGCAACAGTACCGAACACACTCAGGTTCGGTTTTGCTCGCTACGCTCCATTGCCTCACCATTACAATGAATACAGGAATGATATTGTCAATCAAGGCTTCACCAAGTCCTCGACGACCGACTTGTGCATACAGAAAAATGGGTACCGACACAGGAATCACCAACCAAACACTAGGAAATAACACTGGAGGGATGAATCCAGTAGTAGGATCCACTCTCTTGGTGTGTGTTGTCGCGTAGCCTCCTTTTGTTGCCTTTCAATGACTCGACGTTCATGCCGTTGATAGGGCTGGAGTTAACAGAGCCTCCTCCGTAGTGCCGGTAGCCTCCTCTCTTGCTGTTATCTGGAGCGATCGATTGTTCGTTCGTTCGAAAGGACTCGACGCAAGAATGATAGTTCATCGGCCGTCAGCAGTGCAGCAGAGAAAATAACAAATAGATATGAGTTTGTTTTCTGTGCTCAACTGCAGACGACCGGAGACTTACTCTTGCTTTTCAAATTGCACCAACTTGGTCGTCATGGGCCGAGAACTGACTGCCATCCCATGGTCCATAGGATTCAATGAGGGATGGCTTTCGCTTCTGCACCGGAGACGACCGGCTTGAGTGAGGCTTGGATAACAGAGAACCAGTGGTGCGATCGATCGATTCGAATAATTAAAACAACTCACCTGTTGACGGTCAAGCTTGGAATTCTCTCCTGAATACCATAGAAATCCAATGAGGGAGAGAAGTCAGCGCTGTACCTTGAATTAATACTCTTGATAATAGGCTTACCTCGAATGATTCAATCGAATCGAATCGATCGAACGATCCTCCTACCGCTACACCGATACTAGTACCTCCTACCACCGATACCACTGTTGTCGGCCAAGCTTGGATTTACCTCCTGTTTACCATAGGAATACAATGGGGGAGAGAAGTCAGTGCTGCACCTTCAATAAGACACTCGCTAACAGTGTATCCTTAATCTTAGTAACTTCAACGGTTCTTTTATATTTCGAAAGAGAACCTGTTACTTAACGATACACATGACCGTTGATTCTGCAACTGAAGTGCGGGTACTCTAATTTACACAGTAAACGCGGGCGAATCGATTTCGGAGTGCAACTGAGGGGGTAACCAAAAGGTGCGTCGTCTCAGGAGACGTAACAAGCACGTAACTCTTCTCAGGAGTTCAGAATATTCTCTGGCTTGTCAGCACGGAGTGCTGTCCAACTTTCAACTCTGCCCCCCACAGCCAAGTCTGCCCAGAGCCCAGAGCTCAAGCACACAGTGATTGACAATGACTAGCAAGGAATTTGAAAACAGCAATGAAGAGGTAGACCTTCTGACGATAGTGGAGATGCGGATAAGAGGTGATGCATCAGATTTTGAGATCAATGAGCAAAGGGTCCATCAGCCATGAAATTCCAGACAAGCTCGCCATGTACCACCACGGCCGCCATGCCTGTCTCCATCAAATAATTGTCTTTCTCAAGCAGATTCTATTCCGCCTTGTCCTTCCATCTGCCTGACTGTTGCCAAAAATAGCTTCGACGTGCATAGTCTTGTGGCCGAAACGGCGGCCCAATCATTCTTGACGATCATGAGTAAAATTCACTGGAGCTCACTGAAATCAAAGATACAGCAGGCGTACATAACAACTCATCCACAACACTGTTGGTGTCACAATCTCCCTCCACCTCGAGACGTACTGATGATGCATCTATCAGATCAACAATTCTCCCTGGAGCATTTGCGATTGGTAGGTCTGACAATGACCGTGAACAGAACCAAACAATGATGGAACATGGCTACAGCCATGTGAGCAATCTGTTTGACTTCAATTTCACTCGACATTATAACAGTGAAGAATCAGTGAGCAATGATGATGGCCTTATTCATGCAGATCCGATTGATGACTCAGAAAATGGGGAGATCCCAACAGCAGAGCCAATAACAACAAGGGCAAAAACATTATGGAAGAAGAAGCTATGTCTATACCTCTCCCTAGAAGCCATTGTTGCCCAACTGCTTGTTTTAACGATTATGGTAGCATTTCTTGCTCGAAAATCAATTAATCAAACTCCATCAGCAAAGCAGCAAAATGGAGTGATTCCAATGGATAAAAGTCCATTATCAAGCACAAAAGCGCCATCAACGTTGCTGGGAAAACTCAATCTGCCTGATTACACACTCAGGGCAATGGAGAATTGTAGATCGGCACAATCCAGGGTATATCATTGGTTAAGCAACAATATCAACAACAACAATGACCAGAATCTCCCTTTATGGAGACTCAGACAAAGGTTTGCTCTGGCCGCATTTTACTATGCCACAAGAGGTGACTACTGGGTAAAAAACCAAGGCTGGCTGGATTGGAACACCAATGAGTGCAACTGGGAACAGCTACGATGGTCGGATTCACAAGATGGAGAGGTGGCTTGTAATGACAACGGGAAACTCCTTTCATTGCAATTTATTGCTGCCAACAACTTGGACGGAACAATACCACCAGAAATATCACTGCTTCGTGATAGCTTGGAAACACTTAAATTTTCTTGGCATTACCAGCTCCATGGAATTATTCCAACAGAGGTTGGGCTGATGACAAGGCTGAAAGCCTTGTGGTTCACCACAACACACTTGTCTGGCACACTCCCAACAGAACTGGGTTAGCTACGAAGCTTGGAGAAACTAACGATTGGAGGTAGCGAGCTTGTTGGGACTTTACCTACTGAGCTGGGCAACCTAAGCAAGCTGACAGATCTATTATCTGATAAAGCGAACTTTTCTGGTATGCTCGGGAGCAGACAAAATCATTGCAGAAATTCGACAGTTTGACTTTTGACTCACTTGATGTGTCCTGCCTACACAGGGTCAATCCCCACTGAGATTCTTGGATTGTCGAACCTGAAGGTTTTGGGTTTCTCGGAATGCCCTTTGTTGGATATAACATCTTTCCTCCCTGAAGTAGTTGGAAACCTGCACAATTTGGAGATGCTTACGCTAGGCTCTGGGAAACCTGCTGGGTTCACATCAATCCCATGTAAGTGCATTAGTCCTTTTCTTCGTTGTCACCTTCTGGTTGCTGAACATGCTTTTGAATTTATGATTTGAACAGCTGCAATTGGGAAGCTGACCAGCTTGGCAGCCCTGGTGTTTTGCGAGTTTCAACTCAATGGCACAATTCCAAGTGAGATGGGATTGTTCACAGTGCTAGTAAGTTATCATGAACAAGCTTGTGAGTGATGGTTCCTCTATGCACTAAGGGATGGAGTTGTACCACTTTTTTGCAGAACATCTTGAGCTTGCAAAAGAACTCCATCAATGGCACTTTACCAGAAGAGTTATCAAAGATTTCACGTGAGTGCTATATACCTCTTCTGTGGCTTTGGGGTTTATCAGCCTGCTCAAATTTGCATTTTGTTTTCTTCAACGTCAGAGTTACATAGCTTAGACATCCAATCCAACAAGTTAGAGGGGAAGATCCTAGAACAAGGTGCCCTCCACCTCAACAAGTTGCGGCTGGTGCAAATAGGTGACAACCTATTCTCGGGCTCTCTTCCCACGGAAGTTGGTTTGTGGTCTAGCCTTGAGAAACTTGAACTACAAAACACGAAAATATCTGGCACTCTCCTCACAGAATTGCTTTTGTTGGACAACTTGACCAGTTTGGTGGTTATGAACACACTTGACAGAAAGTATCCCTCATGGACTGTGTAACAAGGTACGCCTCCCACGGGAAATACAGTGTTTTGGGGGCACTTGCTATGGAGTGGCAACTAGCAACCTGTCTACCTGCTACGAAACAAGTCTGTGTGGATGTAGTTGTGATCCATGCTCCTACTAACTAACTGGGCTGAGATAACCTTTCATAGACATTGCGGATCAATCTCTCCAACTACAGTAGTCTAGCTGGTCGTTCCCGATCGTCGTGGACTCGACTCAATTGGTCATGTTAATGACTTGAATGCATGTTAACGTCCTTTTCCCATCACAGCAGTAATCACAGGGTCTTCTGTTCAAACTATTATGATTCCGTCGCAGCCCTTCCTCGTTCCGATGTCGCGTTGTTGGGGTTTCGTGCTCGAATTTCTGGGGGCTGGTGGCCTTCTAGTGCTCTTTCTTGCACCTTCTTTTGCGCTGCTGCTTGCAATTCTTCCTCTCCACTAGCAACACCAAACTACGCTCGGCTATCTCAATCCGGCTGGCCAACCCCACCTGGACCTGACCCAACTTGAAGTTGAAATCAACGAGAGCGAACAAAGAAGCTCGTTGAAAGATGTTGGTCAAAGGAGGAAGTATTCGTGTCTTGGGATGATCTTTCTTGCCACGTTCTTCACTAGAATAACAAGTGGAGATCAGAATGTGTTGTTGTTGGGAGCATTGATTATCCATTTAGCTAGCTAGCATAGTTAGCCATATACCGGTAGATCTCAGCCATTAGGCCCCAATATTTAGATGCAATGTTGATTGTTTTGTGTATAGTTACTTCTTTATGCAACGACTGGCCGCTTCCCCAAGCGCTTGAACCAGTCCATTCTTTCCAATAGATCTCTCCAAACTTTCTTTCCATTCTTACTCGTCTGTGGAAACCGTTCCGTGGAGGTTCGCCTTTTCTCTTTCCTTGTGGCCTTGCTGCTGGATGATGGAGGATTCGGGACCAGGGAATTCTTGTTGGAAAGCTGCGAGTCATTCGTGCATATGCTCGAGGACGACGATGGGTAGGGAGGTAGATTTCTGGGAACCCTTCGACGAGGCGGTGCAACATTCTGTTCCTGTTTCTTGGTCTTGGAGGAAGCCGAAGTTCGTTTCTTAAAGGGCGAAAAAGGGAGCTTGGAGGGTGAGAAGGGAAGATTGTTGCTGGAGACCTTACTACTACTGTTGCCCCTTCCGGTATAGCGTTGGCTTGTTCTTTCTTCGGGTTCGTCCGGTGGTGGGAGCTCATAATATGTGGTAGTATCGTTGTTGTTGGTGGTAATCGCTGCTGTCGCTGTTTTCTTCGTGTGAGTGGCATTCGCATCGTCGTTGGTCGTTCCCTGGTTAACCACAACAAACTTGGCATCTTTTTTGGCACAATCGCACGAACGTCGACTGTTGTCTTGTCCTTCCTTGTAAAATACGACGCAATCGCAGGCAATATCATCATCGGACGCATTCTTGGAGGACGAGGACGACCAATACCGCAGCATGCCATTCAGCACTCGAGGAGGAGGAGGAGATTTCGTCGGCTGTTTGGAGCCTCGATAGAGCATGGCGCTCTGCGTGGGCGACAATAAGGAAGATTTCGTCGGTTTCGTGCGTTCTTGTTTTTGTGGGGTCTCTTTCGTCCACAAGAACGACGGCACTGCTTGAGTTTGATGATGAGGCACATGCAGCTGTTTATGCGGCACGGCCAATGACCCTGGGTTGCACCACGGAAAGGGCAACTGAATCGCTCCACCCGTATCGAACAATGACGTGGGTCCACTGGTGCGAGTAGGCGCAGGCGCAGGAGTCGTATTATTTCTTGTTGGAGTGGCACGACCACGACGAATGGGTGTTACCAAATTGGCCGCCGACACCGTGACATCATCGCTTCGGACCGATGCTCGACTGACATGTGTCTCAAAGGAACAATCAACCAGACCACAACAAGAAGGAGTGGTCCGTGGTGGCGACGACGCATACGTATTCATTGGGTCGTTTTGTATCTTTGGTGGTTCCTCTTCTTGCTGCTGCTGCTGCTCCATACTAGCAGCAATATTATCAAAGGACTGATCCGCCGCCAATGCAAGGTCTAAATCCGCCAATGCGAGTTCATTCCGTAACGAGTCGAGCGATTCTCGTCCGGCACTGGTATCATCATCATCGCTTGTGCATGAATACCGATTCGATGCGGCCTTTGTGACACTGTCTTCTCCTTCCGATGGATCGAGGAGCCGCCCCATGTCCTGCTCGTGGGTCTGTAACAAGTTGAGGAGCAAGGGTTGTTCTTTGCTGCTGCTGGCTGCTCCTGAATTATTAGATTTTGGCACGACGACATTTGTGGTTCTTGGTGTTTCTTCAAACGATCGGACAGTGGGAATGGGCGACGGAGGGAGCGGGGATGGCGACAAGAATTTGGTTTTTCGTCCCCCGACACTGCTCATCATCATCATGGAAGAAGAGGAAGGCCACAAGGATGATGTCTTGTTTTTGTTTTTACTCTTGCGTTTCGAGTTTGACGACGATGATGCCAACGGAGGCAGCGCGGCTCGATGTTGTCGATGTTGTTTTGCCGAAACCGGAAAGAGTGGCGAAGAACGGAACAAGGGCGTTTGTTTCCAATCTCGTTCTTGGGTGGTCGTACTGGCATTGTCACAATTTCCTCCCGTACTGGTGGTCGTATGACTGGTCCCCGTGTATTCCGAACTAATGGTCCCCGTATCACTGCTGCTGTTCCAATTATTATTATTGGTATTGGCACCACCACTGCTAGTACTGTTGTTGTTGTTGAGACTGTTGGAATAATTGTCATCTCGAAAGACGAGCCGTTCGCCTCCCATCAACCAATTCCCACTCATGACTCGACCCGATGCCAAATCTTCCTGATGAAGGCTGCCTTCGGTACTGGTATTGTGACAACTACTGTGATCATCATCGCCCGTTCCACTGGTGTATTGATTATGCTGCTGGTAACTATTGTTGCTGCTGCTAGTAGTCACACTGCCCTTGTTGGTTCCAAACAGTTGCGGAAGGCGGCGGCGGGTCGATGAATGGTTGTCACTATTGTTACCGGAACGAGGAGTGCTTCGTTGTTGTTGTTGTTGTTGTTTCCCACCGCCACCACTGCTCCCACTGCTAATGGACGATCGTGCCGTGGCAAAGGAATAGACGGACGATTGTTGCGACGACGGCGGGAACTGTCGTGACTGTTGTTGCTGTGTCTTTTGCAATAAGAACTCGATCCCTCGGAAACTGGGATGATAGACGACCGGCGGATGAAGTTGCTGTTGTTGCTTGCTGCTAGTAGTAGTCGTGTGACTATGAAAGGATGGCGCCTTGAGTGCTTCTCGACTGTCGATACTACTAATGTCGTCATCGTGTTGTGTGGCAGTAGCAAAGGACGAATCGACCGACATGCAGGCATTTGGAATGGCCGTGGCAAACGACGAATCGGCGACGGAAGAAGACGACGCCAGTGTCAGAGCGCTCGTAGTAGAAAATATCACTTCTTCTTCTTCTTCCAGCTTGGCCGTGGACAGCGTCATGGGGAAAAAGATTCGATCATCTCGCACATCCATTGGAGAGACTTGAGAGCGCGCGGCAAAGCTCTTGGAGGGACCATGGGATGGTGGGAAAGAGGATCGAGTCAGAGCTTGTTGGACCAGAGACGACATACTCTACTCAACGCTTGCTCTCAAAGACACACACACGTGCTTGCTTGCTTGCTTGCTGCTTCCCCGACCGCAACAGGTGCCAATCGCTTCTTCTCTTCCAACCAACCTGCCAATCAATCAATCAATTTATCAATTGAATTCTATTCGTTTTGGGGGCTGTTGCTGTTGCTTGATCTCATATTTCTCGTTCCAAAGAACGCCTACGTACCACTACCAAGACTTGGTACAGCCGTACGTTCGTAGATATAAAAGTACCAGCAGGAAGCTGTCTAAGAAAAAGTAGGGAACATCAACATGCTCGCTCTTCAAGTGAGTGGTCTGGCGTCGGCTGGACGCACGGAGGAACCATAATTGAATTAAATCGATGCTAAAATATTGACCAATTGCAATTTTGGCGACTTTTTCTTGGAAAATCGACCACGTTGGCACAAACGACCATCTGTCCCAAATGGACTTGTCCGTGTCTTTAGCTCCATCGGGTTGGGCATGGCTACGAGTGCATGTAGTTTAGCAATGCCATTTTCTTTCAAAAGGAGCAGTTGGCCTTCAAAATTTGAGCCCGAGTGGGCCTTGTTGGTTTCCTTGGAAGCTGTCTATTTTGCTATCATGGCAACGGTGCCGTGCCACATGTAGTCTAGTTTCTCCCTCCACATGACGGGCAACAAGACATACGACTGTACCGTAGCGGTGCGGACGTTCTCGGCTAGCTACCTGTGCATCGCAGCCTTCATCTATCTCTTCTGACCACTACTTTCCATACGATACTCCAACGCCATCTCTCCTCTCGATCTTCAAAATCCTATCATAGCTAGCCATCTGCATCTAGATAGAAGGCTAGATATCTAGCCACAGATCTCTCATTGCTCGCCAAGATTCATTGATGTCTCCCGCCTTTTTGAGGCATAATTCAGCTCATGTTTTACTTCTAACCTTCAACTTTGATAGTAAATCTTACCGGGACTCGACTCGTCACTCATCAAATCAATCGAGGAGTCGAGTGACGAGTCGAGTCGAGTCAGTCATGCATGTGTCGAGAGAATGTCTTTGCTGGTGCAGCTCTGCTAACTTGGTGACCGGACAAAAGTCAAGCAAGGCCAAGAGCCAAGAGGGCACAGTCACAGCAACACTACATGCATGCATCTCTTTCTCTCGCAACCAAGACCCCGAGACCGATGAGATGCCAGTACTTTGAGACAAATAGGGTCAATTGCAGTCTCTCTCTTTTGCTTCCTTGCAGTCTATTCATCATATCTGTCTGTCAACGAGTGATCTAGCTAGCAATCCCCTCAGTCAAGCCAGCTAGCTACCGGTAGTGGGCAGCAACATGGTCTCCGTATTATCGGCACGACGAAAAAGAAAACACAGCACGAAGGAACAACCGCAGCCATCTTCATCTTATCGAGTCTGTGTGTTGGGGATCTTGGCCCTGCTTGCTTTGTGCCTGGTATTGTTTAATGCCGGTACTGTGAAAGACATTGTCGTGACAAAGTCTCCACGACGGGCATCCAACATCCATGAAGCACCAATAATGAGAAAGAATGGACCAGTTGCCAGCTGTGTGTGGAGCCCCGAGAGTGAAGGTGACTGCAGCAATGCCTTTTCCAAACTGATACTATATCCCGCAAGCAATACAACAGATGGACCACTTATTGATGTTCCTCGACGGTGGCTATTCTTTGGAGATTCCACCATGTGGAGGCTCTTTGCCTATTCTGGTGTCCTGGCACGCTACTTTGTCAAAGAACCTGCCAGAGACATACCCAAAGCATGTCCTTCCCAATTTCAATGCAAGAGACATCAACATAAGAGGTGTGAATTGGCAGAACTATTTCAATTACAACCAGCCAACCACTGGATTCCTCCAAATGCTTCCCTGGGAGAGGGACCTATAGAATTTGGAGCCAAAAATCCCTTTTGTCAGGACTGCTCAGGATGCAACTCAGTTTATGCCACTTGCAAGTTCAACAGCACCAACATCACCACAAACTGCGATACCTCCAGGATGATCTATGGGGGTTACTTTTCTATCGAGTTTGCAAGGGATGTCGAACTCCAAAGTACACAATTCCAAACCACCCAAGAAAATGTCGCACAGTTTATGCAGAATCATTTCAATGGACCAATATCCCTGCAAACAAGCTTTGGCGGAAAACCCATTTGTGTTGTGTCAGCGGGGATTCATGACATGGCCATAGCAAACATGAGCGCATCCAACTTTGTTGGCATTGTGGATTGGTACCTTGAGTTGTTGCAACAGCAATGTGACAGTATTGTGTGGCTCCAAAATGCAGCACCCCAACGCCATAGTGGTACAGATCCATTTGCCAAGTTTGCCAAACAGCATTGGGTCAGTGTTGAGGAATGGAACAGAGCAGTGCATCAGCACTTCAATGACACCACAGCACTGGACAACAGCAGGATTCTGGTTATGGATGTGTTTGAAGCATCCAAAGAATGGCCATTTGACACTGAAGATGACAATATTCACAAATCCACTGACTGGTATCGAAAGCTTGCAACATTCTTTAAGGAAATGGCTCAAAAGACAGTATCAATTCCCGATACTTTGCCACAAAGTCAAGCTGTGAGGTGACGCACGTGCTCCGGGGTGGACCAACAACGTTAACAGGCCTGATGTCTTGGTACGCAGGGCAATGCTTTGTCCAACCACTATGAGCTGGGACTTGGAGCCAAAATGCAGGAGCTTGATCTTTGGCGTGTTCGTTTTCGAGTGGAAGCAAGCAAGTTGCTTCTGCGGGATCAGTTTTCAGTTGGGAGATGCAATGAATACATTGGGATCTGCGCTTGAGCTCTTCCAGTTGAGTTTCCACTAAGCGAGAAGTGAAATCACCAGTCTTGACAATCGGAGTCCTCAAGAGCAAGGATGCTACTGTAGTGAGGAATTTAAGCTTCGTTGTGAAGTGAAATGTCTCTTAAATGGGTGTTGTGGCTGAGGAGCATCTCTCTTCATTGTGTACCGCTGCAGCAGTGATATACTTCTTAGCCTAAGCCTGGCCCCTCGCCGGCATTCGCAGATAACTTCCCTAATCTTTACAAAGGCACGTCCTCTTTCGTGATATACATCCATGTCTCTCGCAAATTTGCTTCCCTTTTCAGCGCTTCGCCTCTTAAAGAAAATAGCAATTTTCAGAAACTATTATTAGATCTCCTTCCTAATGTAGACTTCTGGACGAGTGGGTGAGTGACAGCTCGGCTGGTTTCAAAGGGATCGGATCAGCATTGCCGTTCCAAACCAATGACAAGTCTAGAACCACAAAAGATCCAATGCGGCAATTTTCAGCTTCTTCTGAGAGCTCTCTCTGGGCATTCTATTCATTGCATTTTTGCGACGACGCAGTTGGGGACAATGGCTCCCCCATCCAAACGCCCAAAGATTGGAGCATCTCAGGATGCACCACAGAAAGAAGAAGCAGTATCATGGATGTCCAAGTGTGTAGCTGAATTCAAGTTGAATCCCATCCCAACTGCGTGGAAGTGTGAAGTACCAAGTTCAAGTGAAACGCAATGGAAACGATACTACTATTATCGTAAGGAAAAGGAACAGACATTTCTTGAAGAAACAAGTGTTGATCGCGGTGGTGATGATGAGGCCGTAAAAGATTTGCTGGCGAAGTGGCACTCCAAGCTGCGAAAGGAAGTTCTACAATGCCTGGGCAAAGATATGTGTGAAAAATGGCTGGCAACGATAAGTGCCAAGGACTTGTGCTGGGAAGATGCTGATGAACTCCGAAGTGCGACTTTTGAAGCCAACGTGTGGTCGCCCTTCGCTATGCCTCATGCGATAAAGCTTCAGCACCGCTACCATCACCGAGCCCGCTCCAGGTCTGTGGAGTTTTATGCAACCTGGGCCCACAGCCTTCTTGACTTTGCTGAACTTGGAAAAGTCGATTGGGAAGAACTCTGTTCCAATTGCTACGAAGACGAGGAGTTACGCATGGATGTTATTGATACGGAAAACCTGACCCGCGAAACTGTCGATGGCCTCCGAAGATTTCTTCACGGAACCGATGATGGTGAGAAGCTCGACAGGGAACTTTTTTGCAACCATGACTTTATGTTGCTTTTGTTCGCGTCGATGGGAACCATTGACTACGAAACGATTTATTGCGGCGACATCGGTTACGCATGGCGTCCTCCGTTTATGGACGAGGAGTTTTGCAAGGCAATGGTCGATGCAGAAGTGTTTGAGGCTGCTCATTACATTCAGGGGCTTGAGGATCTTAGTGATGTTTCTTGGCTAGACTACGGAATCCGCGAGGCATCAGGCGAACTAGGGCCGATGCACAACTACTACAAGCATCCAACCATTAAGGATGCTGTCGGATACAAGGAATCATTATGACAACCGAAGAGCTGTTTACTACGATGACTAAGACGATGATCAAGATGACGGGGACTACTAAGATTACGAAGAATACAGGGATTCGTTTTTGCTGTTGAGATTGAAAAGTGGATTGCATGGAATGTTACCAGTACTTCAAATGGTAAAGGTATTCATTGGGTACTTCAACACACCTGGTACCTGGTAGTTGCTGAGTTTAGCAGGGAATTCAACGACCCAACACTAGCTAGTAGGCATCGTGTGTTTCACCGTTGGATATTACCATGGCGCTATCCCCAAGAAACTCGTACCTAAGCATTGATGGAAGCATGAGGGAGATTGTCACTTTGTTTTCCTCAACATCGAGAGAAGTGTTGATATGGATTTATTTCGGCGCTGATTTGAGCGCTGGACCCGTTGCCTCAAATGCTGCCGCCGAAACACAGAGTTGTTTGCTTCTTGAAACTCGCTCACCAACCGGACGTTGGCAGTACTATTACGAATCCCTCCAGGGGTGAAGCAGAAGACGCTTCCCCGAGGATGGTCGCCGCGGATGCATGCAATGGCTAGCCAGCCCTGAGATCATGTCGTCGTCGACGTCATCGTTGTTTGAGTGGCTCGCAGAGTATTGCTGCCTTGCGCTGCTGTCACTTGAGCCATAACTTTGAAGAGTGATGCCAGCATTCTGTACCAGACATTGCACTTGTGGATGTTGTCTTCTTCGCTCGCAAATGGCCATGCTTTCGAAGATTCAAAAACATCCATGACTAGAATCCTGCTGGTATCCAGCTCTGAAGTTTCCTTGAGATGTTGATGAACTGCTCTGTTCCATGCCTCAACACTGACCCAGTGCTGTTTAGCAAATGAGACAAATGGATCTGTACTATTACGGCGTTGGGGGGCAGTATTCTGAAGCCACACAATGCTGTCGCATTGCTGTTGCAACAACTGTAAGTACCAGCTCACAGTGGTGACATATGTGGATGTGGTCATATTTTCAATGGCCATGTCATGAAACCCTGCTGACACCACACAGATGGGTTTGCCACCAAAGTCAGTTTGGAGTTTCTGGTGCTGATTGAAATGATTGTGTATGAACTGGGCAACATTTTCTTGGGTGGTTTGGAATTCGGTGGTTTGAAGTTCCACATCTCTGGCAAACTCTATTGAAAAGTAACCACCATAGGTCAGCTTGGAGGTGTCACAAGCTGGGTTGGCGATCTTCGTCCTCTTTGGCTTGCAGATGGTATAGATAGAGTTGCAACCCGAGCAGTCCTGGCAGAATGGATTCTCGGCTCCAAATTCAATAGGCCCCTCTCCCAGAGAAGCATTGGGAGGAATCCAGTGGGATGCTGGCTGTTGTTGAAAGAACTGTGCCAATTCGCATCTCCTGTGTTCATGCATCTTGCATTGAAACTGGGCCCAGCAAGGGTTGGAAATATATTTCGCGGGTTTATTTACAAAGTGGTCAACCAATACTCTTGACTTTGCAAAGAGTCTCCGCATGGTGGAATCTCCAAAGAAGAGCCACCTGCGAGGGACAGCTGCAGATCCATCTATTGGATCTCCATTTTGGTGGAGAAGTTTGAAAAAGGCGCCAGTGCAACTGCCTTGGCTCTTGGGGTCCCACACACAGCTGGCCACTGGTTGTTGCAGTTTGCTTGGTTCACTTTCTTCTTCTTTATGTTGTAGATTTCGTTGGGCATCAACAACAACTGTAATGTTGTAGGCACTGCTGAAGTTGCGAAGCGCAAACACCAGAGCAATCACCGTGGAGACCAACAGTGCAGGGACTCGACATGATACCGGCTGAAGCTTGTTTGGAGACATGGAGTTCAGCTACCGGTATGCCGAAAGGCTCTTATTTTGTGAGTGTTTAGCGATCCAACCTGTTGGAGGAGAACAAGCAGCCGGAGGCTGATGCCCTCAACTGTCAAAAAGAGATTTGATTGGATTCCCCAATCGAATCCTTAACATCTTTGGTCAAATCCTTTACCGTGTTCAACTGGACACACTATTGATAGCAAGTCTCCATAGCCAGCCAGTCAGTAAGGGTCCAAAGTACTGTGTCCAACAGAACACACAATATAATCCCTATCCTTAAAAGGAAAATGCCTTATGTCTTTGGCAAAACTTACACCGGTTTATCTGGACACACTAGTAGTCTGCATAGCCAGCCAAACTGGTACCCATATGTTAAACTACTGTGTCCAGCTGAACACACAATATATCCCTATCCTTAATGAGGAAAGTGTCCCCTATGTGACCAAAACAGCTGCAACAAACACACAACACACACCCCCACCACAACACACACACACCACACACACACACACACACACATCCAGCCCATCGAGGTATTGGATTTACGTTTTATTTAGCTTGGTTTCGTCTATACCGTACCAGCTCTATGTGTTTATTTTCGAAATCACCACAACAGGTACCCTTGCTTTTCTCACAGCCTACCCGGCTTGTATCTTTTGCCATCCCCAGCTGCTCCACTGATGAAGCAAACACGAAATTCCTAAGCTCAGAATTGGAAATCGCAAGCAACGGTATACCCACCCATGGATAAACATCCAATGGTAGATTCGTCGTAGATTAACTCTTAGTAGTGTCTACACACATCTCACACAACATCACACATCTCACACAACACTCAACGTACACACACCTACACACACCTACACACACACACACACACACATACAGCGATAAAAGTGTGAAAGACCCTCAGTCCGTTGAGGGCAAAATCACCGCACCTCTTCCGTAATCCGACTTGGCCACCAGTACACACCACCTACCGATATGCAGGGAGGTGCTCCAAATAAATAAATACAGTATGCTATGTTTGAATATTGCCCACCTTTCTTTCAATGACTGAAATTACTACCGGTACCGGTACACAGTACAGCAGGTAGACGTCTCTATATGCTATTTCGGTGCATCGTACTCGTACAGAACAAAACCGGTGATAGGGCACGGCACAAGTTGGCCAAAAAGTCCACGATGTTGGTTGGATGGAGGGGGACAGCTCTGTTGTCGCCATGGCCAAGGATTGATACGAAGTACCTGGTACGAAGACGAAGACATAGACTACTGTACGCCTAGAAGCGATTGATGGCTAGCTACGGAAATTAACCTGCGAAAGTGTCGATGGCCTACAAAGATGGAACAGATGGCTGACGGAGAAGCTTAACAACGTGCTTTTGTTGCACTTTTAGCAAAAAAGTGACTGAAACCTGATGTTGCTTTTGTTGGTGTCGATGAGAACCATTTACTACAAAAGCATTAGTTGCAGCCGCATTGGTTACCCATGGCTTCTTCCAGGAGGAGCATAACTCACATTTCGGACACATATCCAGCTAGCTAGCTAGACAGTGTTGCACTTGAGAAAAGCCAGGTAGCATTTGAATATCTTCACGGATCTCACTATCAAGTGCACGGACAACTCTTTTTGAAAATCGACCTCTATGATGCGAGCAACAGCTGTGATAGGTATCATACCGGTAGGTACGTCAAAGTGGACAAGGCCTGGAACATATTGTCGCGTGGTCCCGACGGCTTCTAGACATTCCTGAGGTACCGGCACTCAGATTTGATTGACGCCGGGACAAGCCTGAATGAGATCATTGTCACATCCAAAGTTTCGTTTTGCCCCTCAACAACGACGGGAGTGGTAGTAATGAGTATTGTTGGCTCATGCATGGAATGACTGGTTTAACTACTCAATCCGGGTGCAGAAAGGGAGGCTTGGAGTTTTTGTTCCGTTGCACGTTTCACCATGTTGCCATGCATAGAGTAGCTATCTTGTGCTCAGACTCTCTTGGCAACTTCTGCTTTCTCCCTGCAAGCATAATTAAGCTTTTGGCCAGAAAAGGTGCAAACCACACTCTCTGTTCGCAGCTCTTCGCACATGTCCAAACATCTGAAAGAGAGTTTGCAGGAATCAATCGAATCAGCAGCGTGAGGAGGGCAGCTTCGTTACTTAGATCATGGACATTGGATCCGCACAACTAGCTAGCTAGCGCTCCTTTACATACCTCTCAAATTCGATATCAGTGGGAACGATTCTGGTTGAGAATGAATCAAATCAAGACCAGCAAATCGTGGCGTGAGAGATATCCAACCAAATACCACTTCATGTATGCCCCCGCACACAAAACAAGCAAACTACACTTACGTTTCGGCCTGGCTGCTCAACAGCAATTGCTGATACATTTTCTCCTTGGCAATGGGATCACTCTGGATGATTTGTTCCAGTTCGTCGGACGTGGCACTTCGCAGCAAGGTTCGCAGCATTTCTTGATGCTGTTGCGGATCGAGTCCGAGCGTATCCTCCTCTTCGGTTGGCACGGCATTCTCTTGATCTCGAGACAATTTTTGTAATCTTCGTTTTTGTTCTTGCTCCAGGCTGGTTTCCCGACACCCGGGAGACACATCGCACAGTCGTTCCATTTCGGTTTGATTCCGTGGTACCCACAACGACGGTCGCAACCAATGAAATGCATTGTCAATCCATCCTTGGTATCGCTCGACCATACGCGCCACATCTTGATTGGTCCATTGACAAATTTCGGTCCAATTGGCTACCGTCACAATGGGAACATGAGCCGGCAAATGCAAATTTTGTACAATGGGCGTGTCCTCCAGCAAAATGGGGACCGTCCCCAGCAGCAAGTACTCCCATGTCCGGTAGGTATCCCATCCGGTGCCTCGTATCACGACGGCAAATTGATGTGTGCGATAATGCTGTGTCCACGTCTCGACCGTCGGTGTGGGCTCCATGACTTGGACGCGATGGGGACACTGCCGGAGAATTTGCGCTGCTTCCAAGCGGGCTTGTCCCCGGGCTCCTCCACCCCGGGTGGTTCCAATATCCAGTAATATTTGGGACGATCGTTCGGTCGCAAATGCTGGCATGGATTGTCGAATATTCAGGAGTGTTTGTAATGTGTGAGCACTGTGGGGAGACTTGGGAAATCCATAGTGAATGGGCAATCCCACCGGGATGGGATGCAATTTAGGATGACGGGCATCCACGACATTTTGGGCGTACCACGCCACCAGATAGCGCGAATCCAAAAGAGCTTCGGCATTGTATACGGCATTGGGGACATCAATGATTCCATCACTGGTAATGAGTGTAAAGTGACATTTGACTTGCGGCAGGACGTCTTGGATCCATCGCGCCACATCGTTGATGCGCATCCAGCGGGGACCACAGAGGGTGGGTGGAAAATACCGCTCGGCAATCAAGTCCATTGGTGCCGCGCCGCCATCCAATCCGGCACGGTTGTAGTAGTCTAGCGGTACATGGCGGGGAGGAGGAATGGCATTGTACCAACCACGGGCCCAAATCACGTCCATCTGAGGGGTCATTTCCGAGTAGGGAGATTGGGTAGTGCCGAGGGGATTCCATGGTTTGGACGAGTTGGAACGATGATTCCATCGACGAGTGTCAAACTTGTTTTGGTCTTGTCGAAAATAAGGAGGTTCTCGGATCATTTGTTGTCGTCGTCGTCGATCCATACTGCTGACACTACTATTGTTGTGGGGTGGAGACGTGATGAAACCCAGAGCCAACCACGTCGCCATCACCACCAAGCTACTCCACAAGATCTTGGATCGACGAGGTCGTTTCGAATGCAGCTTTCGATCCAGCTCTCCTGAATGACCATCAGAGGACGCCGCCACTGACTTTCCCGGACGCCGTCGAGAGCTTGCCGTCGAAGGAGTCTTCATCTTCTATTCATGCACGGTGCCACCAACCTTTGCCAACACCATCCACCTGCTTGGACTTTCCGAATGAGGTGAATTTTGTGAGTGATGAACCACCGGAAGTCGGGTCGGTGGATCTTGCAAAACGGTCGGCGATGGGAAAGCCGGGCCGAATTAGGTCACGGCACATTTCACCGCGGGACAGCGAAGGCTCCAACCAACCCCGAAACGATCAACTTTGCACCTCCACGGGCAATGCAACCTACTGCATGGTAACGCAGTACAAGAGCAGATGTTGCACCGCAGTCGTACTACTAGTGCAGTCGTAGTCTTTAGGGTAACGCACAGCTACGGTATGGTACCAACCAGCCATTTTGCTCTCCCTCCTCAACGAAGATCCAGAAAAAGATCCATGAGAATCCAAAACCAGAAAACAAGCCCATCAATGATGGACCCCCATTGTTTTTTTATCTCTGAAGGCTTGCCAGGAAACACACTGCAAGCAACAAACCAAGAAACTTAGACTACATGCCGCAACACAAGCAGTTTGGTGATTTCAATTTATAAGTATACATCCGTGACTCTTTCACTGTCAGGAACGACCATACCACGATGACAGCACCGCTTCCCGTCTGCTCAGCGAAGTTAAGCATCGTCGGGCCAGGTTAGTACTACGGTGGGGGACCACGTTGGAATCCCTGGTGTTGTTCTTTTATTGCCATTGTCAACTTGCCTTTGGCTACCGGTACATGTATCACCAATCACCAAGGAGCTCCAAAGTCATCATGATGAGAACTGTGGAAGCAGAAACAAATCAGCTCAATAAAGTAAGTGCTACGATGGTAGCTGGCTATTGCAACCGATGGAGAGCACTTTTTACATATATTTCTATCTGTCTATCTATCTATCTATTAATATCTGTGACGGCAGTTTTGCGTCAATGCCATGGGCAGTAAATACATCACGCGAAGAACAAGCATTCTGTTGGATAATTAAGGTGAATTTACTGCCCGAACGAAGGGAAGGAGGGGAAACCAATTGGCACGGAGAACGTCTGATAAATGAAAGAGATAGAGGAGGAAAACAGGAAGAATCTGCGATTGTAAAAGTCATGAGCCACTACTCGTAGTCATTGTACACTCACAGACAGCTGTTGCCCTTGCAGTTGCCCTTTCTGTCTCCGTTTGACCACCATGTCCTAGACGCGTCAGTCTACAGCGCATCACCGTTAATTCAATCTCATTCTCGGACCCTCCTCATCGATCAAGGTCTCGTACCGTACTGTACCCAGGGTCCCCTAACCTGATAGATTTGAGGAAAAGGTTACTAACCTATACACTAACCTGGTAGAAATCCGCACCAGGTTAGTGTATAGGTTACTAACCTACTAGTAGAAAAATTGCATCAGGTTAGTGTATAGGTTAGTGTCAGGTTACTTATCAGGTAACCTGTAATACAGGTTACCTGATACAGGTTACAGGTAACCTATTACTTTATATAAGGTGGTTTGCCTTGTTAGTTAGTTAGATGATAGTTGATAGGGTGGTTAGGTATCAGAGATAGTCACCCATGACGACTCATAGTGCCACCCAAGGGTTAGTCAACTGCAGAATGTGAGGGTGGCTAGCTAGGTAACAGAGATAGTTACCCTTGACAACTGCAGATTGAGAGGGTGGTTGGGTAACAGAGATAGTTACCCTTGACAACTGGAAGGCGTGAGTCTTCAGTGGTAGTGCCACCCAAGGGTTAATCTACTGCGGAATGAGGAAAATGGCCCAAAAAACGGTGAAAAGTAACCTGATAGAAAACCTGGTAAGTAACCGGTACACTAACCTGATACAAGATCGTATTAGGTTAGTGTATCGGTTACTAACCTGATAGAATTTTTTTAACAGGTTAGTGTAAAGGTTACTTTATCAGGTTCCGGTTACCGGTTTTTTTGGAAGTAACCGGTAACCTAATATATCAGGTTAGCGAACCCTGTACCGTACCTGCCTGTAATAAGCCTGACTGCCCATAATCTGTTGTCTCGCCTGCATTTCAACATTCTTCCAAAGATCTAGACTACAAGCTGTGAACAGAGGACCATGGTCTTTAATAGCTGGGACGACGACGACGCCTTGTATCATGAATATGGCAAGGTATACGGTGAACGCTATGATGACTACGATACCCAATACCGTACCAACTTGGCCCGTCCATTTGCCGCACTGAGTTTGTTGGGTTCCATCTTTATCATTCAAGACATTCTCCGTCAAGGACCTCTCTGTGCGAACAATAGGCAGTGTCAAAAGAAACAACGCACTCGCAATCGCACTGTCCAACAACGCAGTCAAAATACAATCATGTGTCACAAAATCATGTTGGGTTTGTCCATTTCCGACACGATCACATCGACCATGTACTTGTTGGGGACGGTACTGGTACCACACGGCCAAGCATGGGGAGCGCATGGCACACGAGAAACCTGTACCATGCAAGGATTTCTGATTTGGTACTTTAATCCGTGCAGTCGCATGTACAGTGGTACATTGGCCATCTGCTACGTGCTCATGGTCCGGTATGCCTGGACCGAAGATCAATTGGCACGGTGGTTTGTACAGTTGGCACTGCTGGGATTCCCCCATGTCATTGCTATATTGGTAGCACTGCCATTGCTGATCGATCAGAGTTTTAATTTTGATCAAGTGTCCGTGTGTGGACCATCGACGTATCCGACGTGGTGCAAACGATTTGCGACACCCGAGACGGTTCAAGACGGACAAGTCGTTTGTATTCGAGGAGGGCATCTCAGTGTGGGAGGCACCAAAGTGGGAACTACCGCATTCAAAATCATGGCACCCATTGACATGTACTTGGCGGGAATCATTATTACCGTCTCCATGATGGTCCTGTATTGGACTGTGCGTGCCAGAGAATGGCGGAATCGGCGGTATGCATTTCCTGGTACAGCAACAACTCCCCACAACAACAGCAATAACAACAATCCGCCCTCTTCTTCCAACAGCAGCAGCAGTAACAGTTGGATCATGACATTGCCGCGCAGTTTTCGTCCCACCTTTTCACTATTGCAATCATCAGCACAATCATCACAACCACCCCTCCGATCGTCCGTGGTGGGAATTCAAGGCGTTTGCTTTTGTTTGGCATATTGGTGTGCCGTCGGACCCTTTTTTGTCCTCATGACGATATTCTGGTTTGGACTTGTGCCCTACAAGAGTCGACCCGATTGGTTGTCTCCCTTGATTGTGGTGACATTGCCGTCGCAAGGATTCTTTAATGCGTTGGTTTATCTACGACCGCGCATTATGGAATGGTGTTGTCAGAGTCGACGACCGCAAGCACAACAACCAATACGTCAACCCCCATCACCACCTGCCAATCACAGTAATGGACAAGACACTGCCACCAATAATAATCCTGCCAACCAGAGTGCTGACACTTTCGCGGTATCGTCATCGTTGTCACGCAACAACAGCAATGATCAGTTACCCTTTGGAGTGCATACCACCTCCGACGAAGAGACTTTTGTCGCAGAGGATAGCAAAGAGAAAAATGACCCAAAGGAGGACGTGGAGACGCCGCTCCCATCGTCCTCCTCCCAAGTTGTCAGCAGTACCACAACTGCGACAACCAAAGAAACAACATCCGTCCGGTTTGCCCTTGACGACGAGGATGATTGTGATGATGATGATAATGTTAAGGGTGGAGACGATGCCAAAAATGAAACCATTGCAAACGATGCATGATTGCTTAGATTTGCATGGATGCATGCATGTGATCATTATTTTGCCAACCAAGACAAGCAAACTGGAGGGCTTCTTGTTCACGTTCGTTCGTTCGTTCGTTCGTTCGAGTGTCGTACAGTACCAGCCACTACGGATGCGTTTTTTGCAAATCTCGCCCCATTAGGATTATTTTGCTGCGGCATCTTTCCTCCAGGCTTGTTTCGCTTGCCCCCCCCCCAAAAAAAAGCCATGCTGCAATCGGCAAGACCAACCAGCAGCAGCGAATGAATGAATGAGCTCGCTCGTTCTTGAAAGAAGAAAACTGTGCTGTCCTTTCTCGGCAGAGAGAGAAATCCAACAATCCTCCCAATCATAATATTCTTCACAGAGAATTGCTTCCAAGCAAGTGCTCCACCCTTGGAGTACGGCAGGGTTGCTTTGATATAGACGTAGGAGAGCTCAAGAGTACGTACTGAGTACGTGCTTTGGGCAGCATGTATCTAACTTGTTTGCTGTGAAAGACCCAAAGGGAGGGGAACCCGCGCTCCCTATTTGCTAGCTGGCTGCGCTAGAATGATACGAGCACCCTTTATCGTACGGAAATCTTTTCTTGTTGTTTGCTGTATGCATTATTTTATGATCTTCCGGTACGGTTTGTACCAGATCAATTGGCATTGGATGTATCTTCCCCGCAGCGAGAATCGAATCCATGGTGTCAGTGCGTGTTGGATTTCGTGGTGCAAGTTCTTGGGAAATAATATGACGCCAGTCCGCAAGAGCAAGGAGGTGAGAGCTTGCTACTAGCTAGCTATGGTACGGTAGCATAGTTGCTGCCTCTACCGCATATTTCAACCGAGCGAAGTCAAGCAAGGTCGCCCTTTCACGTAGTCCGACCATGGACATTCATTCAAGTTGCGGGAGTGGCTTGCCCCACGGAAGGAAGCTCCTCCCCTCCCATTCAACTAACTTATCTCTTCAACTTTTTGTGTCTTTGGGGTGGAGAATGCATAGAGCGCTGTGGGAGTGGCTTGCGACACGGAAGGAAGCCATTCAACTACCGGTAGTCTAACTTATCTCTTCAACTTTTTGTTTCTTTGGGGTGAGAGCTGTGGGAGTGGCTTGCGACACGGAAGGTAGCAAAGCTCCTCGCTCCTGTTTGTTATTTCTTTACTCTGGCAACTGGCAATTGCTGAGTTCTCTAGCTAGTGGTACATGACATTGTATCTAGCTACTATTAATAGTACGGTACTCAAGTACCGTAAAGCCATTGATAACAATAACACAGTACGCTTATGTAACACCATACGAAAGGAAACTGCTGTTTAAGCTTCGTAAAACTCTTAAAAAGTGAGCTCTAACATGTATTAAGACACAAGGTTCCCCTGACACCAAAGTCACTCACCAGAGTCATAGACATAAGGTCATTATTGGTAAACTGGTGTCACCTGTGCAATGGATCGATGTCTTCCTCTTTCGAAGTTGCTTGCTTGCTTCATTTATTTTTCATTTTCATCACCTCTCAATCGATCGCTGGCTGCAACCACCATCAACCACAATCAACCATCTTCTTCTTCTTTTTCCCTATCTTCATCCAAGCTAGCTAGCTGGCTGACAGGCCAGTGTATCAACCATATACCTCCACTTGAGTTGCCTTTGTTGCAGCAATCAGAGGTAAGCAGTGGTCTTGGCAAGACACTCGGCACGTTTGGTGTCAGTTCGCTCGAATTCGTATCATCTAATCATCCATTTGTCACTTTATTCTCTTGCAGCGAAAGCGTCCTTTGAACGAACAAGACCATATAACCAAACAAACAAGATGGAAGAATCTCCAGACATCCCCAACAGTTTCCGCAGCAGCGTGAGCACCAACGGTCCTGCTGATTCTGGTAGTTTCGATCGACGCCGTGCGGGCATGGCACGCCGGACATCGTTTGGACAAAGTGTTCGTCATTCGATTGCCACTGTCCAAGAATATGCGCCTCGCACCAATTATCGAGAATGGCCGCGGACATTGACGTGTTGTTTTGGCGTCTTTATTCCACTCGTGGTGTTGGTATTCATCAGTCTGGTCTTGGGCATGCTCTTGGGCAAATTGGAAATGCAAAGTGAAATTGACAGCAACAATGCCGCCGTCTCGAGTCAAATGGCAGAATCCAAATACAAGAATACATTTGCGACCGTCATGCGGAAATTGCCGGCCATTTGTACCGCTCTCTTGCACAAGAATACCAGTAGTGCCGTCGATATCTCATTGCCGGCATTACTCGAAGCCAGTATGACCGATCCACAATTGTTGGAACGGTATTTGCAAGTACCAAATAATGACAACGACGCCAATGCTAGTAGTACTACCCAAAGCAGCAAGAACAAGAACAAGGATATGAACTACGCCGCCATGGCAGAATTTTATGCCAATTGTGGTCAAGCCGGTGCTACCTTTCAAACCAATTGGCTCAACAACTTTGCACCCCTCGTCGACGACGATGCGACCATGACCTTTAACTTTATCCGATGCGTCGATCGAGACTCACCGCTCAAATTCAACTTGATTGTGGCACCGACCCCAGAAGACATGGAAGATGCCAAACCGTCGAACCAAGCCGATTTATTCATTTCGTCGTGGGAAGCCAGTCAACAAGCTTTGGAACAGGAATACAAAAACGAAACATATTACACCGACTTGGAAGCCATCATGAAGAGTTTTGAAGAAGCCACGGGAGGAGAAAAGTGTTCCATTAATGCACCCGCTTCTGGTAAGTTACTTACTTGCGTACATGCATGCATGCATGTATTTGGAATGAATCAATCAAAAAGATGTCTGCTTACGATGGACTGTGCTTTTTGCTTGCTTCCATAGCCTGGTTCTGGTTCACTGGTAAGTTTTCAAACAATGACATGAATCAAAAAAGTCGAGAAATGTCTGCCTGCTTGCTGACAATGGATGCTTTTGCTTCTTTCTCTCAGTCATGACCACTGTCGGGTACGGAAATCAAACTCCCCGAACGGCCGGTGGAAGAGCATTGACATACACGCTAGGATTCTTGTCCATTCTGCTCTTTGGAGGCATTCTCGCCACGGCAGGGAACATTACCACGCATATTTGTAACGATTTTGTACATCGATGCAAAAAAAAGTCCACGGGACCCATCATGATTCTCTTATGGGGCATCCTATGGTTGGTATGGATGTTCCTCATTGGATGGCAACAATCCAGTCTCGAAAAAATACGACTCGAAACGTACATGTCGTGGGAAGATGCCTACTGGTTTGCCTTTATCAGCACTACCACCGTAGGGTTGGGAGACTTTTATGTGGCGCCCGAAATTCTATTTGCCAGTGATTTGCTGGGGTTGTGGGCTACGTTTTTGATTGGATTTGTCTTTTTGTCGTCGTGTTTGACCGAATTGTCCCAATTGTTGGGAAAGAACATGCCCGATTTGGCCGGGGATCTCCAACGACAACTCAAATATGCCTACGACGAGAACAACCCAGACCAAGTGATGAATAGTCGGAGTGGTGGACGCAATTCGCAAAGAACTGACAACAACAATAACAACAACAACAACAGCAACTTTAATGAGGGTCAACCAGGAGGAGGTGGATTTTCGCATCCCATCTTGGGTGGAGGGAAATCGGCCTTTCCCGATGGATCAGGACATCGTCCCAACTCGAGGAAACTGCAGCTGCCAGCTCTAACGGAAGGCGAAGATGAATCGGCCAGCGGGGTAGCGGAACAATCAGATCCCGTTTTTCTAAAGCCAACACCTCCCATCGCTGAGGAATCGGCTCGGCCTTCTCCGCCAAAAACGACACCTCCCGTTGCAAAAACACCGCCCGCGGCAAAAACACCCAAACCTGCTGCCGCACCCGAACCTCCAAAGACACCCGAACCCCCAGTCGTAAGAAAAGCACCAGCGGCAAAGGCACCCAAACCTCCTGTCGCAAAAACACCACCCAAAACCACCAGTGCAAAAGCACCCGCTGCGAAATTTCCGAAACAATCTACACGTGCGCCCAAAAAGCCAGCAGAACCGACCCCTGTGACTGTCACCTTCAAAAACAACGGCACGGACCCAGCCATGGCCTCCGCTGAGTTGTTTTATGGAACCAAGCGGTGGGGTCCCTTGGGTAAAGGAGATGCACCAATTGCTGTTCAAAGCTTTGCTGGTCAGCAGTGGTATATTGCTGCCAATGGTGTTTATGCCAAGCTCTTCACGGTTGGGCAAGACGCACAGCAAACATTCAGTATTTAGGTTACCGTGGTACAGTGTGTTGTTTATTGGTAGGTATTGGAGTCAGTCGAGTCAGTGAAGACTGCCGTCAGACAGTGCAGTGAATATGTAGTTTAGCATCCATTTTCTATTAGATTGTTAGAAAGGATGTACCGGTAATAATGGCACGGTACTTCGGACAATCGCCCCTTGCTTGTCAATAGCAAAACTTTGCTGTACTTCTCAAAACTAGGGCTAAAGATGCACTGCCCAAGAAGAGCACCGCCACACATGGACGCAACTAATAGGAGCTATGCTGGTTCGTGGTGGGAGACAAAGCAAGAGGAGATACCTCTACCAGGTACGGTGGAGTTGATTGCAAGGCAAAACGACAGAGACGTTGTTGAGCCGCGGGAGTTGTGTTGCGTGCACCAGCCCTGCTGGCCAGGGGACCAAGGGTTGTTTCTCTTTTGGACCGTAGTACATGTAGCTAGCTAGAGCTACGGGTACTAGCGAGCTAGTACCACTCATGTACTGGTACTGAGTATTAGTAGATGTTTCCGGAAAACCATCCTCCGCTTGCACGCTTGCACCACCGGAGACGTCATTGTGATCCTTGTGCCTGTAAAACCATGGCTGCCGCGTGCGCCACGGAGCTGAAAACAGACGTCGTCAGTGGAGGCACGTGACACCATCCAAGCCCCCCTCTAGCCAGTAGCTACCAGGTACCGGTACCAGGTCGTGGCCCTTGCTCCTTTCAAGAGAAACCCGTCTATTTATTTTATATTCATGAAACAAGAGATTCATAACTGAACTCCATGATGTCCACACAAACGCTTCAGGCTACATCATCCCGAGTCTCCGTACTGGTCCTCTTGACAGTGACTGCTCTGGTGTTTGTGTTTCTGGCATACAATGATACAGCCGTACTTGATGCTCAACCAAATGATCTACAAGAAAAGGCAGAAAAAAAGGTTGAAGAAAGTGAACCAAACAAAGTGCAAGAACCAGTGGCCAGCTGTGTGTGGGACCCCAAGAGCCAAGACAGCTGCACCGATGCCTTTTCCAAACATCTCCACCACAAGGGAAGCTCAATAGATGGATCTGCAGCTGTCCCTCGTAGGTGGCTTTTCTTTGGAGATTCCACCGTTGCGAGACTCTTCACAAAGTCAAAAGTATTGGTTGACCACTTTGTAGATGAACCTGCCAGAGACAATTCCAACGCTTGCCAGGCACAGTTTCAATGCAAGAGACATGAACACGGGAGATGCAAATTGGCAGAGTTCTTTCAACAACAGCCAGCAACCCACTGGATTCCTCCCAATACAACTTTGGGAGAGGGCCCTAAGGCATTTGGAGCCAAGAATCCATTCTGCTCAGACTGCTCCGGTTGCAGCTCTGTCTATACCATCTGCAAGCCAAAGAGTGCCAAGATCACAAACTGTGACACCTCCAAGCTGATCTATGGTGGTTTCTTTTCAGTAGAGTTTGCCAGAGATGTTGTACTTCAAACCACCCAATTCCAAACAACCCAAGAAAACGTTGCTCAGTTTGTGCACGATCATTTTAATGAACCAGCATCTCTCCAAACAGACTTTGGTGGCAAACCCATCTGTGTGGCGTCAGCAGGGCTTCATGACATGGGCATCAAAAAAATCACGGCATCCAAGTTTGTTGGCATTGTTCATTGGTACCTTGAGTTGTTGCAACAGCAATGCGATAGCATTGTGTGGCTCCAAAATACTGCCCCCCAACGCCAGAATAGTACAGATCCATTTACCTCATTTCCACAGCACTGGGTCAGTGTTGAGGCATGGAACAGGGCAGTGCATCAACATCTCAATGAAACTGTGGAGCTGGATACCAGCAGGATTCTTGTCATGGATGTCTTTGAATCTTCCAAAGCATGGCCATTTGCTAAGCCCGACGACAACATCCACAAATCAAATGACTGGTATGAAATGCTGGCATCTTTCTTCAAAGATATGGCTCAAGAGGCAGCAGCGCAAGGCAGCAATACTCTGCAAGCCACTCAGACAGCGACATGATCTCAGGACTAGCTAGCCATCGTATGAATTCGCCAAGAGTCATAGAGAGATTTGATTCTGTATGTCATACCCATCACAAAGATGTCGCTCCAGCCCTTGGCCCGGATTCGATTCCTTTCCGCTAATATGGCAGTGCAGGACGGAGATCTATACAGTTTTTGGCACAATTCAAGCAAGTTTGACTGGAACCTCCAAACCAATAGAACGATCTTGCATTTGCTGAGGCTCCACGGCTTTTTATCGGACGCATGGAGAATGATGTATGTACAATGGATTCGCTCTAAAAGTAAACGTTATGTAGCATGCAAATTACTGTATTTTTAAAACGTGTAGGTGCTTGAAGGATAGGTCTTGTAAGTTGTTGGTCATTTGGAAGCGGTAGTGGAAGTAGGTCGCTAGGAAGCCCCGATATCCTGCGTTGATTGGTTTGTTTGGCATCAGACATCATACGTGGCGTGGAGCGACCACTCCCGAAGAGATGCTTGATAGTCGGAAGGGAGGACAAGGGCGCTATGAGAGGGATAGCTGCGTCGTCGTGTTGGGCGGTCACCAGAGCGCGCCGAAAGATCATGCTGCTGGTTGTTGACGATGGAGGTTGAGAGAGCAGCAGGAATGATATCTAGGTCCAAGGCATGGCTCGCGGGATCCCCACCCATGGAGGCATGGCGGTGATGTCCCACGTCGAAGACAGGGATGCCTTGATGGTGATCGTCGTCGATGTTGGACGATCCCGACATGACGGAATCCGTATCATTCTGTAGTGAAGCCAATCCTTGCATGGTTCGAGAGTCATACAAATGACGAACCGAGTCGGGGTGGGTCTCGACATGGGCTTCCTGCATCTGCTGGTGGATCCGAATGGCAGGAACAAACCAATGGCGGCAGATTGGGCATCGTTTCTTTCCCTTCTCAAGCCATTCCATCATGCACTCGTAATGGAAGACATGAGTGCAATACTCTCCTTCTTCGTCAGCGGCGGAACGGACCAGTGTGTCCCCAACCTTGTAGTCATCATAGCAGATTGTGCAGTTGGCTTCAATTTCTCGGTAGCATGTGTCATGAGGATCCCACAATGTCATCATCTTGGTATTCTCCTCCAACGCCGCATAAAGGCCCGAAGCAGGCGTGGTGTTGCCTTCGTGTTCTGCATCGCCGTCTGTAGAGATTCGAATGCTTGTGCGTGTCTCTTTGCCTTCCTCAACACTTTCATCACAGGGACGGCAGAATTCGTCCTTGGTTCCAAGCTCAAGGTCTGGCTCCTCCTCCTTCTCTAGTGAATCTTCTTCGTCTTGTTCACTGGTTTTGAAGTTGGAAGCTGTCAAGACCTGGTGAGATTCGGGGCGGGAAGGTGGCAAGCATTGATTTCACGGTTAGACAATGACACATGACAATCCTGGCAGTTCGCAGAAGTAAGTGATCTTTAACTTACGACAATGTATGGCTTCAAATAGTACTGATACCACAAGCGGCGCTCTTGTCGTTGCTTTTGGAGCTTGATGGCTTGGCGTTCTTCTTGCGTCAGAGGACTGGTTGGGGCTTGTGCACTGTTGCGAATGCGGTGGAGGCTTCTGTCTGCTTCTTGGAGCAGACTTTCAGGACAGCAAGCACCTCCGCAAATACGGGAGAATCCTTCACGAACCAAGTAGCTAAGTAAGACAACCAGGAAGAATGCGAGGATAAAGAGCATTGTGTACCACCATTCTCCATCATAGTCCTCGTCGCCTTGACCAACCTGGGAGGTTTGGTCATTGTAACCATGACGGAGGCGTGTGGGAGGCGACGTGGTTTCGTTGATACTGGCGGTGCTTCGGGCGCTTGGAATCGTTGCATCATCATCAAAGGAATTGGAGTAAGGATGAAGGAGGTCAGAATCGTTGTGGTCCCAAGGCTGCACCAGGCCAACAGCCAGGGCGAGGTATCGAGAAAACGGAAGGGTGTCCATGGTTCTTCTTGTTTGTTTGCAATTTCAATTTCAAAATGGGCCGTATCTTTCGCGTTGGTGCTAACTGTAATCTGTGAGAATTCTTTTCAGATGGTGGGGAACAGAGTTTGTTGTGGGGCTTGTTGGCAGCTTTCTAATATGGCTTGTATAATGACCAATGGCTGATTTTATGAGCACACATTTCACTGAAACTTGAGCGAAAGAAAGAGAGACCTTTGTTGCTGCTGTGTGGGTGTTGATCTGAACCATCACCCAACCACCACACCCTCATCATTTGGACTTCCGGTCAGTCATGTCTGGTTGCGAATGCAGACGTCAACCCATCAAGCGGAAATGGTTCACGACTCGCAGTGGTTATCGCTTTCCCCGCTGTTCCCCGAGCTGTACGAACTCGTGGGTGACAAGGGCACAAAAGCGAAGGCGTTTCATTGCCAATGCGGAAGAAACATCAAAAATAATGAGACGTACAACCGAAATTGTGGGGAGTTTAGTGGAGGCAATGAGAAGGAAAGCGAAGCGTATCCAGGGCACTCCTTGTGACTCCTGCTTTAGCAATATTTAATGTAAACGTTGAAGAATCTCAAAGATTGGAACTCTAGCTTTCCAAAAAGCTGAACTGGCGAAAAGATTCGTGACCATTGAAGGCCGAAAGTTCAGAACACTTACTTCAAAACACATCGATGCACAATGCACCTCCAAACACAGAGCAACGCACACTCCAAACACAGGATGAAGAAGAATCTTTCTTCTTTCTTGGAAGGCCACCCAGCTGCCAGCAAGCCACAGATTCGAAAGAACCAGCCAATCCCATCAACAGACTAGCAGAGGCCGAGCCCGAGGCCTTGAAAGATTCGTTAACCCGAAATGATGTCCCGGTAAAACGGTCCCCCGAATGTAGTTGGCCATCATCCAAGTCCTTGATCTCACTGACGCATCCATCAGAGCACCATGGACTATACAGTTGCACGTAGAGGTTGAGCAAAGCCCGCCACAAAGCGCTGGCAGCCAGCTCTGATGTTTCGGAGTATACCCAGCTACTAAAGTCGCGAAGTACTCCACTCGGATGAGGCTCCAAAGTATACTTCAACGGGCATCGGAGTCGAGCAACCCATCACCGGTAGCCCGAGGTTGCCAGCAATTCATTGGTTGGCTTGGGAAAGCTTCCGGCAACCAATGTTCGTCCGCAGCATCGCAACGGGGCTGCACATTGAAATCCAATCATCTCGTGATCCAGGCATGAAGACCCGACTCGTGACCAGGCTTACATCCAAAGAGGCATGGACTTTATCAGACTGTAGGATAGGGGCGTCATGCTGATTTGCTGAAGCCAGTAGCTAGTAGCCAGTCTATTGTTTGGGGGAAGGTTGTTCTTGGTCTCTGATTTCCTTTGTATCCATCTTACATGTACCGGTACCGTACAGTCGTACCGGTACTAATGGATTTATTAATTCCTGTATTTTATTAATTGAAATATTTCCGGTACTCATCAGTCATTAATGCTTATTGGCTCCGGCTTCGAAGGCGCGAACCAACACCCACCGCCCCACCAGATCTCGACCATGGCATACTCTACTACCGCCACTGATCCTCCTGCCTGGTCTACTGTGCCTCTTTGGGGCACCATCCTCGAATATGTGGTGGATGATCCACTAACATTGCTGGCCTGTATGATGGTGAACAAAAACCTGCGAAAGGAAGCTGGAAAATTGATGAATCAACGTGACGAACAACCCATGTCAATAGTGAACGGCGGCAAGTGCCTGAATCCTTTGGCTTTGGCCCAGAAATCGAGCTTTCTTCAGTTTCTCAGTAATCCCAAATCTTTTTGCATGGCCTGGAAAAAGGGAAAACGTAACAAGAGCAATACTGCAGGACCATGTCGGTCCAAAAAGATTCATGAAATGCGGGATCTTCTAGCCAAGACGTTTGTCATTCTAAACGTGCAGCGACCCGCTTATGGAGAGGAAGAATCCCAAATTGCCATACTGGATGGAGGAGGTAGGCTAGTGGCAGTCTACAAGATTTCCACTCGGCAAGACTACCAACCCTCTCGCAAGCGCCCAAGAGGCGCCGAGGATCCACATCCTTGCCACCAGCCCTGCATTTTCAAGATGGTGACATCGGCTGCATTGTTTGGTACAAACCATTCGGATGGTGTAGGTGACCTGGCTGCTTTAGACTCTCCCAATCCGTGGCTCTTCTCAATGGTTACACTGAATGAGTATTTCCCAGAGACAAATGTTGCGGATTTCGCAGATGCCGAAGTGGCATGGCCCAATTACAAGCTCTTTCGACTCTTTCAGGGCCGCCTGTCTCCCACGGAAATTGCAGCCGTCCTTATGCATGCTGCAACTTCCAATCCACAAGCCATTTATGATTATGTCGATGCCGTTCATACGAAATTGGATGCCAACTTTCTTCCGGAAGGCATGGTTGTTTTGAGTTTGGTGGAATTGCTTCAAGATGTCTTGGACGACCAAGATCAAGTCCAACAGCACATGGCTACCTACTCGAACTGGGGGCGTGAGCTAGAAGCAATTAGCTATAATTTGTAGGTGAGGCAAAATGCCATAGTTAGAAAGATTTTTGTTGAATGATAAGATTACATAGTATTAGAAGCAAACCAAACTTTCTGCGCCCCGAAAGATTGAGACCACCGCGTCAGTCCAAGGAAACGAATTTGCCACTGTTGATTCGGTCAGATTAACGATTAATGAGCTGCGACTATGGTTCCATTCTTCATCACTTGTTCTCATTCAAGGTTTGCTACGAGCGGATTGATTGTGGTTTTCTGTTGATTGCAGACCTGTCTGTTTGTCTTGTCGTTACATTACCAGTATTATTGTAGAGTTTTTGCACAAGATTACATTTTTACCACTTTTTAAAGGTCTTTTTCGTAGCTTCAAAATTCTTATCCATGAGCTCGGTGGGGATTCCAAATCGACTGAGCATTTTGACCGAGAAGAACCTGAAATAGGCATGTCTACCAAAGACGGTGCCTACCATGACGAGCAGTATGGAGTAGAGAGGTGACATGATGACAATGGTGCATATCCGATAGGACCAGGGACCCTCTTTGAAACTCCCCTGCAATCCCAGCACATTCTTGACGGCCGGTCGGACCAGCATCATGGTGGAAGTCCCCGTAATCGCAAACACGGTGCAGATGAGCACCATTTCACGGTACCACGCAAACGTCCCTCGTTCTGGCATTTCCTTGGGGGCTAGGAACCGCTGTAGAAACGACTTTTCTTGCACCACACGGCTGCTGCTGCCGCTGTTGCTAGTACTTCCATTATTGGATCCAGAGAAGAAGCGCGGCCTTCCATGGATACCGCTAGAATGTTTGGGATGATGACGTCGAACCAAACAAGAAATTCCAGGCCGATGGGACCCAGCTAGCAGATTCCTTGTCAAGATTGGGTGAAGACGAGCTGTGGATAGCATGATGAGGGCCAGAGTGGAAGAGAGTTGTCTTCTAGCTAGCTAGAGCTATGCATAACTCGAAGCTGCGAAGATGGATGTGTACCACCGGTAGCACCAAAAAGCAAGCAAAGAGCGGACTTGTAGCAACATTAGAGTTAGAGTTTTTACTTTACTTGGAGGTAGAGCTTCGAATGAATCGAATCGAATCGAATCGAATCGAATCGAATCGATTCATCATTCTGATTCAATCGGCTCGAATGCTTTGGTAAAACCGTGTACTGTACTAATACCTGGTACCAGGTACCGTGTACCGGTACCGGTGGTTTGCCTTGCCATCGACTCATTGTACATCCTCTTGTTTTGTCTCCAATATGATAGTGTATGCCGGGAAGAGGGAAAATGGCTCTTTTCTTGGTCCCGCAAATGGTCAATGAGGGATATTAGTAGTCTATAGAGGTAAACAATGGTCAAAGATCAAATGGAGAATTCGTTTTATTTATTTATTGACCACCCTTGACCACGAGTGACCACGGCTGACCACGCTTGACCACGGCTGACCACACTTGACCACGGCTGACCACATTTTTCACTGCAATTTAACTAGTAAAAGACCACGGCTGACCACGCTTGACCACGCTTGACCACGGGTGACCATGGTTGACCACACTTGACCATGGTCCTGGCAGTCAAAATGACCGTTTATCTTTAAAATCTGACTTTTATGGTTAAAGTTGGTCAAAACATGTCCAATGTGGTCTCCGTTTCGAGCACTGTGGTCGCTTTTCCCCTCTTCCCCGTACCGGTGTAGCTCCTCATGGTTACGTCCGTGTGCGGTGGTGCTCTCTTTGGGTCGTGGATCGTTAGCCAGATAGCCAATGTTGAGAAGCACAGCAAAGATGATGCTACTAGGTATTGACAAGCATGTGAAGACACAGACAGTACGAATTTCGCAAAGAGTGAATGAAGACCGCCTAACTGCCTACAATACTGGTAACCGGAATCCAAGCCAAGAGTTGGAGCGACGTTTTGTGCTCGGTGCCGTCTGACAAACCGAACCGGCTAGCTAGTCCTGAGATCATGTCGCCGTCTGAGTGGCTTGCAGAGTATTGCTTCCTTGCGCTGCTGCGAGCCATATCTTTGAAGAATGATGCCAGCATTTCATACCAGCCATTGGATTTGTGAACGTTGTCGTCTGGCTTAGCAAATGGCCATGCTTTAGAAGGTTCAAAGACATCCATGACAAGAATCCTGCTGGTATCCAGCCCCGCACTTTCATTGAGATGTTGATGCACTGCCCTGTTCCATGCCTCAACACTGACCCAGTGCTGCGGAAATGAGGTGAATGGATCTGTACTATTACGGCGTTGGGGGGCAGTATTTTGGAGCCACACAATGCTGTTGCAGCAACTGAAGGTACCACTCAACAAAGCCAACAAACTTGGATGCTGTCATATCTGGAATGGACAAGTCATGCAACCCTCCTGACACCACACAGATGGGTTTTCCACCAAATTCTGTTTGGAGAGATGCTGGTTCATTGAAATGATTGTGCACAAACTGAGCAACATTTTTTGAGTGGTTCGAAATTGTGTGGTTTGAAGTTCCACATCTCTGGCAAACTCTACTGAAAAGAAACCACCATAGATCAGTTTGGAGGTGTCACAGTTTGTGATGTTGGCACTAGCTACCGGTAGTACATGTTCCCATGCCACTACCGGTACCACGACCGCTACCCAGCTAGTAGCTACTAATACCGCTACTAGCTAGCTAGAGTACAGTCCAAGCCATCAATTGGATGTTGTTGCATCAACGCCAATAAACATACAGTAGTCTATTTTGGACTGACGTCTTCAGCCGCCGTGGCCATGGGAGGCATGGTTTTACAGAAATGTTACAGCATTTATTTGAAAGACAACAATGCAACATCTTTGTGGTTTGGTTGTTTGCAATGTTGGTCGGACTTCTCTAGAGAGGCAACCAAGAGTACGGAACGGCAGTTCAAATAGCTCCACTTGAAAGAAACAAGATTTTTTTTGTGGAGTCACTAGGCGCACCAGTTTCGGGCTGGTTCACTTGGATGTGGTTTAGTTATCACTGACCACACCACAAGCTAGCTAGCTAGCTAGAGAATCTCAAACAAGAGGCAGCCCTGGCTGGAATCTTGCCATTACGCACTATAGGAACTGCTGCTCCAGTCTAGATAGTGGCATCTTGCCATTACGCACTATAGGAACTTCTGCTCCAGTCTAGATAGGGTAGATGGTCTGTTGAGTTGGATCCAACAGTCCTTGGTCAACTTTGGTATTCACCGTGTTCATGCATGTTCATAAATGTTCGTGCACAGAGCTTCCACCCGCGTCAATACCTACCGGTAGCAATCCAACTCCCTTACAGAGGTGGATGCAGAATGAACTGAAGGGCCACAGCTCGCTCAAACCAATACAGTCTGCTCCCATGTTAGGAAAAGGCTACGAAGAGCGCTAGAAGTTCAGAGTGGATCCACTTGAGAGGAAGCTAGAAACGTGGGGCTGGCATACAGTGCAAGCAACAGAATACATACACGCAGCAAACTAGCATGGGGCCAAAACCTTAGCACGATGTTGCAATGTACAAAATATTTATGGGCACATCGAATACCATGGATGAATATCAAAATTGCACCACTCAAGGCGGTGACCTGTCGATGTTTGAGCCACTCAACCGGTCTCTCATATACCGAAATCTGTGATCATGGGTGTCGCCACTCTTCGATGTGCCTTCGTTATAGATAACTCTTTCCTCGGGAGGAGTAACAAAATGGACATCCAATTTGATTCCAAGCTCGTAAAGAAAACGAAAGAGATCAGACCGATCCAGCTTTATTCGCCCGGATTCTTGCCAGCTATACCGATGTCTGAGAGCCATCTTGAAGTCGATTCTGTCGTTGTCTGCGTCAAAACGATCGTGGCGGATGTAACTGAGGCTGTCCCAAACTCGTGGACGTTCCTCGACGTATCTCTTTATCTCAGATCTAAACTGATCCAGCTTGTTGCCTTCCAAAATGCACATGCGAGCATGGAATTCAAAGTGGACCGTGGCAAAGGCACTCCGTGCGCAGTTGACAATTCTTGAGCCGGCAATGCTCCAGTTGTTGATTGTTGCAACCTCGTTCGTGTATGCGTATCGCAGCGTCGTTGTGGATAAGGTGATGTCTTCTACAAACCATGTGTGCTTCGACACGTCGGGCTCTTGAGTCGGACAACGGACGAAGCAACATGTGAGCAGCGTGCTGCTTCCACGAGTGACTCAGTTCATCGCGATGAAATCCCTACACTTACCTGGATTAAGCCCTTCGGCTGAGGCCATGAAAATGCGACTGTGAAGAACGGAAGGCAAGGGAGCGTTAGAACAGTCAATGTAGCAGGCATACCGATACGTACGAGCGCAAAACTTACTCTCCGAGGTCATAAGGGCGCCGTATTGCTATCAACAGAATCCTGAACAGGCAAAATATTCAGAGAATGAGGATACCTCAAACCTCAAGGCCAAGAGAGCGGTGTGCGAAAAACGATCATCATGTCTTACCCTTCGACGTATTTTGAAACGCTGGATCCCAAGGCAAAGGAAACCGAAACAAGGAGGGATGTGATAGAAAACAAGAGGGTCCAAGGATTGAGCTCAAGCAAACTAGACAACATCAAAACCAAAACAAAGTAGAACAGGCCGTTGAGGAGCCGCTCGAGGACGCTGTCGATCACGCTAGCGTTCCGGATGGACGCCCGAAAGTAGCGTAGCCGCTTGTAGATCTTGTCACAAGCTTGAACAAAAGCAAGTAGAGGCAATCCACCGGTTCGATCCGGTGTGAACATGCGTTTGATCATTCGCCTCTTGGCAATGTTTTGAGTTTGCCCGTCTTCATCGAGAGTCAGGAGGGCTAAAACCTCGAACGGGAGTGTTTCTGAGTTTGCATCTTGTGAGGAGTCGGTCACGGTGGTTGGTGCAAGCTTCATCAAGCGGTAGTACACTGCATGACTCGATGCAATGCACTCGTCCCGTGTGCTGGTGCATCCAAAGGCTTCGCCAAAGATGTTATCTTCATCTAGATGCGATAAAGCTCTGCGAAACTTCAAGATGTCATGGATAGAGACATCCGTCGACTGCGGGGTAGGAGTTAGGATACGAGTGCAGTGCAACAGAGATGAAACAGCGTTGTACAGCTGTGAGTGGGCTTACCTTATCCGACTTGCTGTCAGGCTCACTCCAGGAATCCAACAAGTCTTTGATCTTTATCCTTCCGCTTTCGGACTTGGTCAGTTGTCGTGAAAGTGGTATTTCTATGCTGGTTACTTTGTCGGCGTCGTCATTGTTCGCCCCCCTTGAATTCGTGTTCCTGTTACTTTGCATGCCAGCGTACGTATTGAATTTTGTCGTTGTAGAATTCTTGCGATTCGGTGCTCGCATGGAATCAGTGGATTGCGAGTCGGCATCACTACCAGTATCATCTGCAGATGTGCTGTTCGGGAGTTCCATGTCGGCGGTAAAGAGGTAGTCCTTCAAATCTTTCTTTTTCGATTTCCTTGTCGATGAAATGATATCCCAGCTGTTGACAGTCTGAACTTCCTCATTTGATTCCTGTTCCACTTCCTTGTCGGCTTCTTCCGCTAGGGTCGCAATCTCGCTCAGCATGACGACATCTGCCAATATGCGTTCCAATCTAGGTTTGAACTCTGCAAACTGTTTCCTTCCGAATCTCAAAGCCAGCAAAGTTCGTTTCGCCGACACTACAAGAAGAGAGCAACCATGAGTCTACCGTATCGGTGCGATTCAAAAAGGGGAAAGCTGCTTGTCTCTGTCTGCACTGTACTACGTTGTTTCTCACCTGCAAGTCCTCCCAACACGGCCGACAGCAGCACCCGCGTATACAAGCCGCTGTTCAACATGAGTCCTTCGTAATGCTGATTAAAGAGTCCCATTCTTGTCCAATACATCCAATTTCTCTGAAAGGAATGGTCCCCGTGCATGAGCACCAAGTTCCAAACACCCCACGTGGACAGAATGAGAGGCCATCCTTTTCCGGTGGCCGCAATCAACGTCAGGAGTGGCCCGAGCGTCTGAACGGCCAACCGCGTCCCGAGCATGAACCCATCGACGAGCACGTAGACGGTCAATCGCGCAATGCCCAATGTCACCGTTTGTCGAGTGGCAAAGAGCAGCCACCATGCCGCCGTGATATTGCCCGGTAGAAACGTGACAACCGGATTGTCGAGCAGATAATAAAAGACCGCCGACGCGAGCAGACACGGTACTCCCACCCATAGAAAGAAGGAGCGCACCAAGATATCATGACAGTTGGTGGCGACACGGTAGGGATGACACATGGCGCCCACCTCCCGCATCCATCGAGGAAAGAAATGCTTGACACGAGCCGGATTGCCACAACAGGGAGAATAATATCCTTCGAGGACCGTGTCTAGTTTGGAATGTCGTCGTTTGCCGCTGCCATCATTGTTGTTGTTGTTGGTGGTTCCCACCACAGATGAATTGTTGCTGGTAAAGCTGGGGTTGATGTGAATACTATCAAGGAATCCGTCATGTCCCGTCGCAATATATCCCTCGGATGGTGGGTGTCGCTGAAATGGGGGTTCATGGAGAGGCAAGGAGGGTCTCGTCTCATACAAGGAGGGTCTCGTTTGGGAAGCACCACCAATGTTGTGAAAACTGTTTGTGGCAAAGACTAGGGGCACTGACTGTGCTCGAACATGTCGTCGCATTGGCAGAGGGATCAGTGGCACTTGTTGTTGTTGTTGTTGTCTATTGGATTCCTCCTCCTCATCGTCACTGCTGCTTGACAATTTGGCCTTTAACAAATGATGATCAAAGTCAGCAGCGTAGGGATTCTCCTTAATAGTGTCTTTCATGAGTCCATCTGTTTCATGCGGATGATTGTTGGTATGATGATCTGTTGTTGCTGCTGGTGATGTTATATTGAGAATGGCTTCCGTATCGTCCTCTTCTTGGATATCCAAGAGTAGATTGCGCGCCGACGATTGCCGTCGTTTCCTCTTGAGTGCCGCGACGGCCTTGACTCGATTCATGCGTTTGACACGCTCGGCGACTTGCTCGAGTCGAGCTCTGTCATTCTGTTGTGGTTGTTGTTTGACGGAAGAAGACGAGGAGAGAGCTCGAAAAAGTTTGGACTCGTCATTATTATTGCCGTCTTGGTGGTCACCACCTCCGACAAGAAGAATAGAGGATGCCGTCGAACCTCTGTGATGCCTGGATTCGACTGCAGCAAATACATGACTTTCGGCGTCTTCGACATCGAGATCCTGTACCGTGAGTGGTACCCTCACAAAGGACGACGAAGAGCCATTGCTACCCCGCCGTCCTCCGCTCTCGGGGTCGTCGTCCATGGTCGATCGAGGTTCCCTCAAAAGTGTGGGAAGATGAAAGTTAGTTGTTGGGTGAGAGTTGTGAGTTGTGAGGGCAACGAACAAGTCGGCCGGGTTTTGGAGGGACGTTAAACAGTGTCAGTTCCGCGAAAACGAATCCTGGAGAGTATGAGTCGAGTCACTATTTGTAAAAGATATCGGGTTTGGAAAATGAGAGAAAAATTTGACGAGGCCAAAGATGGCGGTGCCGCGTTGTTTGCATAGAAGACTGGATTCCTTGTCGCAAGGTTGAGCCGTGTTGTTGTGATGAACGTTGCCTTGGCATTGAATGTTCAATACTGTACAGTAGCTTCTGGTTGGTTCTAGATAGCTGTGCATCAATTGATTGATTGATTGAGTGAAAAGCAACAAACAAGAGAAGATTGGTTCCACTCGCCATGGTAAAAGTACCATCAACTGAAACTTCCAAAGACAGCAGGATGTGTTTTCGCAAGGCGTCCCTATCCATTTCTCTGTTCGTGGCGGTGGTGATTTCCTCTTCTGGTTTCTACTACAATTCTCGGTCGTTCTCGTATGTCTTGGATTACTTTGAGCTTCCCACGCAACTGGAACCATCGGGGGATTTTTCCACTAGCACAAAAGAGGGCAACGGGAAGTATGACATTGACACCCCACAACCAAAGATGAAGAAAAAGCTGGTAGTACCCGATGGACAAGCCATGTTACGCCAAAAGTACTCCAACTGGGGAATTCCTCTGTTCTCGGTCGATCATCAGACATACAACAACAACAACAACAACCAACAAAAGTCCAAGCAAGAGAATAAACCACCACCACCACCACTACAGCAGAGCAAGACTTCTGTTTCATTGAGACTGGATCCAGAACAAGTGAAAAAAGCCAAAAGTGGAGTCGATAGGAAGGAAGTCGTGCATCAGCTCAAGCAACAAATTGAGCAAGAACGAGCGTCCGCCAACAAGCCGCAAGCTAGAGTGTGGAAACCTCCCATATCTGTGAGCACTACTATTAATAGTATTCGGCAACAACAACAACAAGATCCACCACCAACGACAAGAAAGAGTCGGAAAGAAAAAGAGGATCGGCTCGACGAACGGAAAAGGGAACGATCGGACAAACGAAAACGACAGCGAGAAGTCAAAGAACAACTCAAATTCAAACGACAACCACAACAACAACAACAATCCCAAACAACACCAAAGCAACGACTGCGACGCTCCGAAACAGCAATAGAAACTGACAACCATGAGGAAGATGGTGACACTAACACAACAACAGCCAAAGAGGAATTGATCAGAGGTGATCCTTACACAAGGGAAACGGTAGCCTTTGCTGTTTTGAACGACCCCAACAATGCCGAGTTGGCTCAAAAGGCATCCAACTTTTACCAGTACCACTTTGAACAAATGAAACAGTTGGTCAATTACACCAATGCATTGGTATGGGGCACGCCAGACCAAGCCAGGGAATACGGTGCATTCCTCGCCTACTTTCAAGTCGATGCCAACGAACAACCATTGTATGTTGTTTCGGAAGAACAAAAGCAAAATGCCGATCCATCCGTCTTTCTGCATGGTCGCTACATTTATTGTGACAATGTGTGTCGCATGGCGCAGGCATTTCGCAAATACGAACGACACTACAAGGCAGCGCGACAAGCAGACAACAACAACAACCAATATGCCAAGACCGATCCAAGTAATGGGCACATTATGATTTTGGGGCTCAACGAGAATTGGGGATCCTTCTCGCAAACGGTAGTCAACAAGACGGTGGATTGGACCGAAGATTTGGAACATTCGTGGCAACAACAGGGTTGCTCACGACAAGATATTGACGACTACTTGGACAATCCCAATACCAAGGCTGTCATTACGACTCAATTCCAAATCATGAATCATCCCAAGGTACATTCCATACCACTGGGTATGGTGACTATCGATTCCGAATGGAAGGATCTCATGCAAGTGCTGTATGAAAATCAACCGCGACCACTTCCTGCGGCACGACAATATTATAGACTCGATCCACGACCGCAGCTGTTGATGATCAACAGTTCTCCAACAGAGACAAGATCGCGAATGTATGATATCGTATCGAAAAACTTTCGCAAGGAGGGAATGGTGGTTCGAAATTCCTTCAAGGAATATGGGTTTACAGAATACCGAAAGGAGCTGCGCCGTTCCAAGTTCATTCTCAGTCCGTCTGGAATGGGGATGGATTGCTATCGACATTGGGAGGCAATGTACATGGGGACGATTCCGGTCATTGAACATTTGAATCGAGATGACGGTTGGTACCGGACATTGGACAATCTACCCGTGGCCATGATTGATTCCTACAGCAACCTTACTCCTCATTGGCTGGAACAGGAGTATATCCGCATCATGTCCCGACCACTAGCGTACTATGAGTACGAACGACTGACAAAGGACTTTTGGATCAAATTCTACAAATCCAGTCTGGAGCCACAGTTGTCGTAGTTGTACTGTATGTGGCAAGGAGACCACACAATGGGACACAAGCAAATGGTTGCCTTTGTCGCAGGATTTTTAAGCACACCTTTTTCCCCTTTCAAGCCACACAGGGGTCTCTGTGTTTGGTGCAGCCGAACCTGGAGCATCCATCTTATTTCAAGAGCGGATGCCTCCACTTTGTAGGGCTTCTGCAACTTCATTGAAAGGTGGACACTGACCGTGTACGAAATAAATCTAGCTAGTTAGGGACAGATCGCATGGTTAGTTGCTAGAGGACAAAGCCATGTAGTTATTAGCTACAGGTCCGAAAATGCGGCGATGACAATACTTCTGACCGCTTCAATGCCCTCTTCCGCTCTGGCCCCATGCTTCGTTCCTTCGCACATGGCTTCCTTTATTGACATTAGGCATCCTCCCATTCAAGTACTCCAAAGGGCAAACCACCTGGCTTTGCAGCCACATGCCCCTGCTTCAGTCTGTTTCAGTCTGCCCCAGAGGCCTTGCTGACCCATCACTGCTGCCTTCTCCCGCTACAGCCACATCATCCCACCGCCGTACCCCCATCCTGAGCGATGGGCACAACACTGTTAATCTCATATTATTCTTTCTACACGACCCGGGACCGCTGGATAGAGAAAACGGTTTCTTCGTGCCATTCGATCTGGCCTCACCAAAGGATGATGGATCGCGAAACAACAAACGAACGCCCGGTGGAAAGGTAGCTACATGTAGCTCTCTACATGCCTAGCTAGTACTGCATAGAGAAGGGAACATACTTCGTATTGCGCTGTGTACCTGGTAGCTTTGTATTATCATTTTGTTATTCAATATGTGCAGTGCATGTATGTGTACGAAACGAAACGAGTTCGATTGGTTTGTGTGATGAGGGAATGTGTTTCTTGGTGAGTCGAGTCGAGGGCGATCGGAGGAGGGAATTTGCGAGCGAGGAAGAGATCGGCCAAGGAGTGTGTCTTGCAGTTAACTGGCTTAGGATCCATACAAGGCAGCAACATCTTCTGCAGTTACATCTGCCTCCGGATCAAGTGTATCGGCATACGACATGGATCCAACCGACTCCGAAGTCGGTGAAGCAGTGCTGTAATCAGCCGATAGACGACGAGGTGGCTTGTGGGCATGATCCAGCTCCTCGTAGTAATGTTGTTCGTCAATGTCGACGCCAACATCGAACTCTCCGACGGACCTTCGCCTTGTGGTGGATCGTCTCGCGCTGTCGCTCTCTCCACCCATACCGGCAAGATGACCCCGGCTCGTGGTTCTCTGATACCCCGCCAAACTGTTCCTGCTGGTGGAACGACGGATATTGCTGCTACCCGAAGTGCTCTGCTGCTGCTGCTGCGGCTGCCCGGACAAGCTGCCCTTGCTGCTGGAACGTCGAACAGTGGAACTTCCGCTGCTTTGAACACTTGTCAGGCTGCCGCGACTACTCACTCGTGGCATGCCATTGCTGGTAGTCGAATTGGCGCTGCCCCTCAAGTCACCACCACGACTGGTCGTCGAATTGGCGCTGCCCCGGAGGCCACCACCACTGGTGGTACTTCTCCTCGGGTTGCTGCCATGCTGGCTCGTGGAGTGTTCGCTCATCTCCTCGGTGGCCTTCATGCGGGCCGCATACAGCCGGTTCTCCAACTTTTCCTTTTCTTCACTGTTGATACGCAGCGCCACTTCTTTGCTGACTTCGCACTGCACTCCCAAATAGTTCTTGATCCGGCCCTTGGTATCACGCAGCGCCGTCATGAAGAGGCGGTTGTAGAACTTGCTCCCATCCTTGCGGTAGTTGGTCAAGCACACGTGGCAATCGGATCCTTCTTCAATGGAGAGTCGGATGCGGTAGACGGCATACTGATCCGTCTCGTCCCCTTGCAAGAAACGGCAATTTTTCCCGAGAATCTCATTGAGATCGTACCCCGTCATGTTGAGAAAGGACTGGGACGCAAACGTAATGGGATTGTCCGGCAATGTGGGATCAGAGAGACAAAAGTTCTGCTGGGTGTACTCGAGTCCCTCGGCCAGATCCAAATCACACTGCTGCAGGGGCGAATCCCGCGACGCGTACTTGAGATCGGGAGCATTGATATCTCCTTCGACCGCCGTAATGACATAGTCGGGATCTTGTCCGCGACTGCGCATGAGCTCGGCGAGACGGAGTTGCTTGAGACGTGTAATGTGGGTTTCTTCCTTGACCATTCCCATGAGACCCGCCAAGGTTTTCTTGTTGTGACGTTCTTCTGCTTCCCGGAGCATGGCCAAGGAACGTGACTCGGTGAGGGCATCGACAAACTGCAAGTCGGCCATTCGGGCTTCTTCCGAAGCTCTTCGTTGCTGCGCTCGATCCACCAAGGGATCTCCCGTCTTCATGGCCAACCGCCGGTGTACCTTGTTAATGGGTGCCAGGATCCCGTTGTTCTTGCCAACATCCGCAAAGTATTTCTTTCCCTGATAGACACCATTGCACGTTCCACGCCCAATCGAAGGACCCGTGAGCTGAATGCCCACGTACGTGCCCCTGGCAAAGTGAACCTTGCCCACGTAGACCACCAAGCCTTGGAGAAAGGCCGCTTTGGCATCGGCCAAAGAGACCTTGTCTTCGAGTCTCAAGCTCTTCTCCGAGTTGTCTACCCAATCCGACGTTCTCAGCAACATCTTGTCGTTGCGGTCCATGCGACGCGTGGGAGCATCCTTGGCTTTGGCATGGTTATTCACCGCGGTGGAGGATCTGCTAGTGCTGAACATGATAGATAGTCTAGATACTGCTGCTAACGTTCGTTGCTCTTTCTATGTGACCTACCGTATGTGACAATATGTATGAAAGTATTGGCTCGAGGACAACAGAAAAAAGTGAGGATGTTGTATCCGGGCCTTCCTGTACAATGCAAAAGTGGGCTTCTTGGCTTCAGTTTCTTGTAGCTACTGGCTAACTTGTGGTTGCATTGCTGGCGGCTGCTCTACTGTAGTAGATAGCTTGTCGGTATGCATAGTGGTGGCACCAAAGCGAGAGAATCTGAATGAAAATGTGAGGGATACAATAAGAAATCCGGCTTCAAGGGCAACGTGGCTTCGTCCACGTTTTTAGTGTGTCTTGCGCGTTAATTAAAAAGATATCAAATGAACGTCAATGAAGTGCTCCTTTCAAGCCTATTAAGACTAGTACTTATTGGTTCGAAGTTATAGTGACCGTCTGAGAGTCAGGTGACCAGAGTGATTTAAGGATGTGACCAGTTGAGGTTGGACATCAGAAAATGGAGAATTACGTGTTCCTTGGTGTCACCACTACCATCCTTTACCTTCGAAATCATAGGCGGCAGCTCTCATCACTTATTATTAGCTACACTGTATCCGGAGATTGGATGGTTAGCTATCATAGCCAGGCATACCAATAGCCCACACAGAGACCTTCCAGTTCCAGCCTTCCAGTATCCAGATCACCGCATGAACAGCCTTTCTGGATGGCACCGGAACAGAGCGATTGAGTTGTCATTTATTTATTTGGTTGTGAAGCTGCTGTCGCTTTTATTAGGTCCAGCAAGAAGATGGAACTGAAGCCCTAATGCGAGGTTTCACGAAAATCTTCATGGAGCGTTGACACGTTGACACTCTATGCAGGCAGCTGGCAACTTCGTTGAAATTCAGCAAACTAGATGGCCGGGGGGCAATGCGAAATCTACCCCAACGAGGTTTTACAAGACACCAACAAATCGAACCAGAAGGTTTTGTGGCTCGGAATGGTGGATGGAGCCTGCTGTCCGGTCATCTATTATCTATTACATGTATCAGGTAGTCCATGGGGCCATGACTTGGGCATCTTCGAGTTTCGAGTGTATTGTAGAGCTATCATATTATCTACCTTCTTGTGAATGCGATTTCAATCGGATGGCCCATCCAGCCAGCATCCAAAAGAAGGAGAGCTAAAGAAGTCCAATGATACAGATTAAAGATGCTCGGCCAGAGAAGTTATTGTTCTCAATTCTCAACCAGAACAAGCCAGCAGCTTCAAATCAAAAGGACCTCGCCCAATGGGACAACCCTTGGTGAGTGATCCTACGATCCTACCAGCATTCCTTCAACCTTCAACTGAAATCGGCATTCGTATTCCTTTTCGAGCCAATTCTGAGCTGTGTGACTCTTCAACAAAACTATTGATCATGCTGCCAACACTTTCAAAATCCGGGACATAGTCTACTAGCTAGTGCTCGCCCTTTTGCACCTGCAACGACCAACACTCAGGCACGTCTCGCCCCCGCACTCTTCACGGTTTGGTCGCACTTGGTGTTGAGTCATGAGTATCCGGGACTGAAATTCGAAATCGACTGGACCACCAAAGCGATTCCTCACTTTTCTTTTTAGACTGACTTTAAAATAGCTCACCATGGCCAAACAGTCTCTCTAGTGTTTAATCAACATCTAAAAAGAAAAGGCTGTTTACCAGTTACATTACAGACCTTCAGGTGCTCTTGAGGAGCGAAGGAACAAGCCGAAACGGAGCTTTAGAGCCTCCGAAAGCGAGTAAGTAGACGACCGTGAATTGAGGTGAAGAGCACCGATTCGTCGGTTCGACACCTTCCGACTGTCTACAGGACAAGCCAAGGGTATCATTCCGACTGCAGGAGTGTGCACTACACGGCTACCTACTCAGATAACAACAAAAGGACTGGTGTTACCGATTGAACGGTCGAAAAGCACCATTGTCGGTCCTTTTTTCTTTCTTTCGTTTTCGATCGAAGAAACTCGCTGACACCTGGTGAGTCCAGTGAGTCAAATTGACTCATTTGACTCGAATCGGAATTCCGATCGCGACTCGATTCGGAAACGGGAATCAGTGACGTTTTTTGCTGACGTCATCCCGTGACATCATCGCGTGACGTCATCGCGTGACGTCATCCCGTGACATCATCACG